GACACACATGGAATAATGAAATTCTGATCCTGTACGAGAAAAAAAACTGTCGCGCACCCCTCTAACAAATTATGACCCCTGCGTACGATAGCGTGCTTGCTTGAAATGAAGAAGAACCCACAAGGTGCAACGCACAGTGCCGAGAATCAGCACAAGAATGGACTAGTACGCAGGGGTCATAAATAGAAGGGGTGCGCAACGCATCGAAAACTCATATTCCATCCTCGGTACCAATAAGAAAAATTTCCCTAGAGATTTTTTTTTTCACCTCATTTTTACTGCATAACACTGCATAAAGTGCACCTGAAAGACCTCATGCACAGGAACACTTCCAATCACTCTCTGATTTTCAAACTTCATATGCAAATCTCTCATATAGTTGAGAGTCAAGTAGTAAGTGTTTGTCGGGCGTTATTGTTGTCTGCGGTTCAGAATTTGAAGTGCTGGCACAGGGCTCCTGCTGGTGACCCCCCAGCTGCTCAAAAAAAAATTCGACGGTCCGTCCTTCATCCGTTTTCGCTCCATCAATTTTTTTTCCCTACCAGTGCTACTGTAATTCTACAGCAGATACTACATATTCTTACATTAGTGTTGCTTCCATGCCTTCCCTTGTTCTTTCTCTCTAATAGGTTATAGGTAACATTAAATATCCCTTTGGGGTAGTCCCAGAACAGTAGAACAAGTAGTCTGGTGTGGTGGTTTGTGATTCTGTGCTTCCCTTCTTGTAGCTGTCTTTGGGAAGTTGGTTTTTTGCCWTAGTGGTGATAGTGCTAAGTAGTGATCCCCAACCACTYCAGGGTTCCGYAACTGAACCAACACTTTTTGCCCTTATAGGTAATTCAGTGCGACATCTGTTGTGTAGTTAGAGCGGGGTGATCTGCCACTTGCCTTCACCAGTGCTGGGCGGGAGGGGGATCGCTATCCTGGACAAGATAGCCGAGGAGTACTCAGATTGCAACTTAGCGGAAGTTGCACCCTGGAATTTGTAGTTGCAGGCAACACATATTCTTTTGGTTGCCCTGAAGGACATCTGAGCCATCAACCCCCTGAGAACGCAGTAAAAGCAAGCAAAACAACTACCTGTACGGTCTGGGCTTGTTTCATCCTCTGCATACAAGCCAATTGCTACTCCATCAAGCAATAAACAGACATACGTACCTGCACACTAAAGAATTACAAACAAAATAGTTCAAAAATGGAGTCTACCAAAGAAGAAATTCAATCTCCCTCAAGACAAGTCAAGTCCCTGGATTTGGAGAAAGTCAAGCACCAACCCCCTCCCAAGACAACCTACTATCAATGCATTTGCAACTGGGGAATCTCTCCTGATCAAAGAACTTCAATGTGTGAGTTCATGCACAATCAATTCATGGAGCATTTAGAAGATGGTCATCCTTGGAAGGCACCAGTATTTCAAATTAAAGCAGGTACTTCTCCAAAAATGAAAGCTTTCAGAACAGCAATATTTGAAATTTTTGGTGTTACATCAAATACAAAAAATTTCAAACTTGCTCGGCATCATTTTTCACCTGTGTTGCTACAAAAATATCCTGGTCACCGATCAAAATTATTGACACAACAGCAAGTCATTGATTTGGATAATAACATGAACATTGACACAAAAGGTTACTATTCTCGCCGATTCACACTTTATGCTCTTTTGAAAAAGAGTGATCCAACACTTTTACAACAACTTGAGTCAGATAAGGAGGAAGCAGCAACACTGAGGAAGAAATACATTGCTCCACCACTTGCTTCAAAAAAGTGGGTCCTTGATAAAGCAACTGAATTCACTGCAAAATGTGGTTCAACCACTCCAACAGATCTTGTGACTCCAATGAAACATATATCTACTAGACAGCTCAGATCTCTCCAGGTTCTAAACTGCAATGAACAAAATGAGGAACCAAACTCCTATAAAAGTATACAATCAATTCACAAAGGGTTGATTGAACATTATGAAATAGCAAATACTATGGATGAGTTCAAAACAAGTGAGTTTGTACAAAGAGCTGCAAATGATATAGCATTTCAGGTTAGAAGAAATGATAAATACCCAAGTGCATTTGAAATACAGGATGATGTAATATTTCAAACTTGTACATGTTGTTCACAGGTTCGTGGTTGTGAGCTGTTCAAAATTATGAAAAGATATGTGGGAGAGTCACAATGTGATTTCTGTACACAGTTGGACAAAAACAATAAAAGACGAAGGAAAAGAAAGGAAGTCAATACAGGTGATAGACTCTCTACTGATTCACATGTTCCAGTGGGTCTTCTCTCTCCTGAATCTGTAAAAAAATGAGTAAAGGGGCTTTCCATTCAAAGAAAAACTCTCAACTTCCAAATGAAGAAATTTCAACTAAAACTTGAGAATGCATCAGCAAAACAAATGGTTTCAATTGATAGTGACAATGCTCAGAGTGTTTTGAGAGAGGCATTTGACTTTGCAACCAATAAGGATACAAAATCTGAGTTTAAAAAACTGATGGTTGAAACTTTACTGAGGGCTGATATCAAGGAGGAAAAGTGGAATAAAGAATTAGTGGACTCAAAAGAAGTAGACCTATTTGTAAATAGAGTTTGCACACTACTTGATGCAGAATCTAAAAAATTGACTGGTAATGACAAGCAAGTCCGCTATGATTATAGGATGAAACGTCTTGCTCTATCATACTTTTTAGAGCATGGTAAATCAGGTTATCAAAGGCTTAGGGAAAGTTCACTTGAAATCCTGCCAAGTCAGCGAACAAATGAAGAGGAGTTGTTTCATCTGCGTGGAGGTGATGGCGCACATGCTGTTAGATTCTCTTCACAGTTTCATGATGCTTTGAATGCAGGCAAACCATTATCTTCTGAGGAAAGAGTTGTACAAATTATTTTTGATGAAATCAAAGTGAAATGTGGGGTTGCATACAATCCTATGACTGGTAAGGAGTCTGGGTTTACTGCAAGCCAAAATGGAAGAACCATGAGTTTTGCAAAGGAAATACTGTTGCTAGCCCAAGATAGCCTAGATTCTGGATCTGGACACCAGGCTAAAAGTGGTGAAGAAAATCCATATGTTGTACCTGCTCAATATGCAAATGTCTTCAAACTGAGAACCTCAAAGAACCAAACGTGGAGTGTGGCATACTATTACAACAATGATGGTGGTCTAGATGGCGATGAGATTGTGAAGCAATTACTGCATGTCATTACTGCTGTAGAGTTTGTTGGTTTCAAAGTCAAGCTTCAAATGTGTGATGCAGGTGGTGGAAATATAAGTGCCCTTGCATTACTTACAGCTGGTAAATCAAACAACATCAACCAGGGAAAACCAGACAAGGAATGTCTCAGATACAGAAACCCACTATCTCCATCAAGATACATTTGGACTTCATTGTGTTCTGTTCACTCATTGAAGCGTAAGAAAAACATGATGGCTTATCGTATAGGGTGGGCCAAGCAAAAAAGCACGGTTTAAACCGTACATTAGCAATTCAATATATACGTAAACGAATATAAGTCAATATTCGTCGTATGCCGTACTCCCCCACGCCATTAGAAAGCTCTTTGAATTCTCTTTTTAACCATGTGCTTATCATACTTAAGCGTCCGTTGGGGAAAAAGTTATTGCCCAAACTGTCAGTTCGGGACTAAAACAGTTATACGGTTAAATTATACATGTGCGTGGATTACCTGCCATCTAATTACCGTGTAATGACTCGTGGGATTAAAATTTGACTTGTACCAGGGCTACATCGTGCACGTGCGAGCGAAACNACTCGTGGGATTAAAATTTGACTTGTACCAGGGCTACATCGTGCACGTGCGAGCGAAACGATTTTGTATGTAAATAATTTTTAATCCCACGAGTCATTACACGGTAATTAGATGGCCACGAATCCACGGTTTAAACCGTACATTGGCTGGCCAAGCCTATACGATAAAGTGTTGGTGAATAAGGGACAATATATTTCCTGGCAGGTCATAAGGAATTTGTATCACCATTTGAAAGATAACTTTGAAAACTCCCTAAATGGTATTGAAATTCGGGGAATTAAGAGAAGTGTTGCCTATCCAGACCAGTTTACACAGCAGAATGTAAATGATGCCAAGAAAGCCTTTGAGGAAGAAACACTTGCTTACCTTTGTCAATGGCTAGCAATCAAAATGGATTGCAGTCCAGGTTTCTTTGATCATGTGATGAAAAAATATGCTGGAAAGGATGGATGCAGCAGTGAAATCCTAGAAGAAAAAGTGAAATTATTGAAAACCAAAATATCTACTCTTCCTGATGACAAGAGAGGTCCATTTGAAAGTGAAGTAGCGTTTCTTGAAATCTCTGTAATCATACACAACATCTTTATTGTCCGTTTTCTGAACAGAAATGCCAGACTTGTCCAGACTCCTGAATGTAGGAAAAGGGACAGTTTAGGCAGTAGGGTCATTCTTTCACTAAATATTGATGATGAAATCCAAAGAATGCAACAGTCCATGGCATATTTTGATCAATGGAGGGCATGGAGTAAAACCCAAAGAGATATATGCAAGGATAAATGGGGAGTGCAAAAGTGGTCTCAACTGTGCATTTCACCAATCACACTTAGAAATCTGAAGATCTCAATTTTTTCATTTCTATACTATGCAAAAGAGATTTTGGAGGACGAACCTGGGCTAAAATTTGTTCCTTTCCTCCACAACAATTCAAGTACATTGGAATCAACATTTTCATGTTTTCGTGCCACAGGCAGGGATACGTCTCAGCTACTTGAAAAGGGAATGATTGGAGTGAATGTAAAAGCAGCAACAAAATCCATAACCTCCAAATCATACTCTGCAGATCATAGCACAAAAGAGAATAGAAATTTATATTCTATTGATTTTGATTTGACAGATGGTCCAAGGCAGAGAGCCAATTGGGTGAAGGATTTACTAAAAAGAAGGAAAGCTATGTCTCACCCTAGAAGTACAGCAAAAAACATCTCAATGTTTCCAAGTAATAGCACTGCCATCAGATCTGAAAGGATAATGCCATGGCTAAAGGTTATTGGAGAGGAAGAAGAAGCAAGTCCAAGTTATTCTGAGTTTCTTTCAAAGAATCCCATATTCCAGGATTATGCTGGGGCATCATTATTCACAGAGGGAGCAAAGAAATGGTTTGAGAAGGTTTTTCTTGGCCAAGTGGATGCTATGTTTGATAGTTTGTGTCAACAGATCAATCTTAGGCTCCTGAATTTTCTGGTGCAAACAGCACATGAAATAAAACAGAAGAAATCAAGAAGAATTAGTGGTGTCTCATTTCACATGAAGGTCTTCAGTATGTTACAAACCAAAGATATTGATGGAATTGTTCCACCTAACACTACTGAAGAAGAGAGAATGGCAATTGTATCAGTTGTCCTAGTACTGATTGAAGAGTTTGAGCAGAAACAAAAACTTGGACTCATCAGATATGCGGAAGAGAGGAAGAGTCAAGAGAGGGAGGGAGAAGGACAGAATGTTCATGTAAGAGATGTTAACAAAATAGTTGGATGGGCAATTTTCAGTTTGAGATTGAATAAAATTTGACAAATAAGATCAGCTGAAGATGATGAGAGTGAGAAGGTGATTAAACTCAGAGAGGAAATTAATTTTCTCTCCAATATGCGGTTCTATGCTGAAGAAGCTCTATTATCAAATTCATATGTGGAAAAGTGTTATGACACTTTTCTCCGATCAGCAAATAGAGGAAAACTAACTTTAGTCAATGAAGAATACTTTGATTTTGGAGTACTGCTGATGGAAAAAGTGTCTGCTGCTTTGACACTAGAGAAGCTACAGAATGATCACCATGCAGCGGAAAAGGCAAAGAAGATGATAATGAATGATGTGGAGATTTTAGATTCATTCTTCACCTGTAGTGGTGAACCTAATGATAAAATTAATAAAGGAGAAGAGAAGAAGAAGAGGAAGATATTTGATGAGCTGGTGGAGAAGGTGGTAAATGCTAGATTCAGTGAGGAGTTCAGAGGATACAGAGAGAAGTTTACAGCCAGAGGTAGTGAGACCAAGGAGACCAATCTAGTTTTACGAGAAGAATTGGATGTCATTGGTTCAAGAAAGAGATCCAATAGAGTTGGGGGCAGCATGGAAAGTAGTAGTACCAGTACCAGCAAAAAAGAAACAACAAATAACTAGTAGTAGTAGTAGTAGTACACAAGAACAAACAAATATATTAGTAGCATACAATCATACTTACATGGAAAACATTCTTATTGTACAGTCTTAACTACTACTACTTGTAGATATGTAGCAAATCCTACTAGTAGTACTAAGTAGTAGTACTAGTGGTAGAGTTGTAGTTATTACTGCCAACACTATGTAGTAGTACCAGCAGTACTACTAGTAGTAACACCAACAAGAGGAGGAATAAGGATGTAGATTTTAAAAGGTAAAATAGTACAACAAAAATTCATTTGATGCCCGACAAATTGGTATATTCAGGATCATCATTAAAAACTGGACTAGACAGTATGTTCAAAAATTAAAATAGTAGTATTTTTGATAAAGTTATAACMACTTGAAGGTTGGGTAGTATTACTAGTAGTATGCAGTAAAAATGAAGTGAAAAAAAAATTCTCTAGGGAAATTTTTCTTATTGGTACCGAGGATGGAATATGAATTTTCAAATCATTCTGCAGTAGTTTTCGACGCGTTGCGCACCCCTTCTATTTATGACCCCTGCTAGTACGTWCGTACGGTTCTTACTGTATTACAGAAAGGTGACACACAGAGTTGCGGGATAATATTCTGTCTTTGGTTTGGTCGCGTATGAACGCATGTTTCTGGTGATCGTTAAAAATGTCTTAAACGAATCTAGAGACGTCAGACCGTGAGGACGTGTAACCCACACATCAAATTGTACGACAGGTGTAGTTGCATCGCGTTTGAAACAGTCAGCCAATAGAAATTGCTTCGGGAATCTCCTTCGTTTTTTTTTCATACGTCTTTCTGCCTCCATAGAATCTGAAGAAGCCTTCCCCCTTTCTGCACCTTCCTCATTTTTTTCGAATTCTGCCATCGACGTCGGCTTCATGTGTCCATCAAATTGACGAAGGTGACCTAAAATAATCCAAGTCCTTCTACACTAACGCCTCTTTTGGATCCCGGAAGCATCGAAACGACGTCGCACTTTACCAAGGAGAACATATTCAATCCCTTTGTTCCGTTTTATCAACGAGAAGACCTGTTTCTGGCATTTCATTTGTCGTCTCGGCCTTCCCCATATTTCATTTCTGGGAGGAATTAAAAGCGCGAGTAAACTAGCAAAGTCGTCTTCTATCGCTGAGCTCTCAATCTGTCGAAGCAATAGACCGAGATGAATGATACTGCCATGATGCGAAATAATCATCCCCTGAGTGGATGTTTGGTTCGTCAGACAGCAATTTTTCTTTTTTTGTTGCTATCAATGTATTCACAGCCATTCCTATGCCACTCGTTCCAACTATCGTCATCGGTCCTCTTGACGACTCGATCATCGAACGGACCCTCCATCTCATCAGCACCTGAGAGTAGTAAACACAGCGTCAACAGGAGGTACTCGAGTCACACGCATTTCTTCACCGATCCATCTTCACCCGATGTCCACGACCAGACAGCCCCGCGGCCCTCGTTTGAACAACGCATGCGGGAGCAATTGAAACAGCGCCAGCAGTCTGCATCAGCATCTATGAGCAAAGGATCTGCTATTGGCAAACTAGTACCCGATGTTCGAACACTGAACAGCTACAAGGAAATTCTGGACCAGACAGGGGAAGATGGCAAACTAATGGCGGTCTTTTGGTACTCCCCGTGGTGCAAGGCCTGCAAGGCCGCCCTTCCTGGCATCCGAACCCTTGCCAAACGCCACCCTGATGTTCAATTCATCCAGGTTCCGGTCCTCACCGAAAACGCCAACCTTCACCAGGGACTTGATGTCCCGAGTGTTCCTTACCTTCATCTATACGTTCCCGAGGCCCCGAGGCTTGTAGAGGAACTAAAGATGACCCGCAAACGCCTCTCGGGGTTCCAGAAACTCCTGGCTGACTACGAGAAGGGATCCTGCTCGCTGGAACTAACTGTAGCGATGGATGGGGAAGATCCCGAAAATCCCAAAAAGATATGGTCCACATCGTGTCCGTATTCTTCTCCTACGAGGACAAGTTCGTAAAAAAGGGAAAATAAAACTTGAGAAACGCAGCCACACCCAAAGCAGATGGTGAGGTCGCGTATTACTATAGACGATACAGCATCTATCACGCAAGCAAACAGCCACGGGAACGTCCGGGGAAAATAATTGATCATTAAAGTGGAAATTCATTAGACCGTAGTAATTGCAATGTAAATAAGTAGAGACCAATAAGCAATGAATTTATCAGTTGCATGTACTTGATAACTAGCTGGATGGCTAATACTAGTAGCGCAAGTTGTTGGGTTCACAGACGTCTCTGGAACAGTTTTCTGGTTATTTTTTTCATATAAATATCACCCTCCCTTATTTTTGTGGCTGCACCCCTCAAACCAAGGAGATTTTTTTCTCCTTGTTTAAAGGGCTGTGAAAACAAAGAGAAACTAAGAGAATATTGCCTCTCCTTGTTAAGGAGAAATGCAGAGAATATTGACTAGGCAATGTTGGCATTGTTTCTCTTTGTTTAAGCAGAGTGATTATAAGGAATATGGGCAATATTCTCTTTGTTTTTACATGGTGAAATGAAGGGGGCAAGGATTCCCGTTCATACAAAAGAAAAACATATATAATATTGCCTGAGCAATATTATCTTTGTTTCTTTATGTTTACTATGTAAATAGAAACAAAAGAACATTGCCTCTCCTTGTTTCTCTTTGATTTGTCAATTTTTTTACAAAGAGAAATAAAGATACTCATAGTATTGTCTGGGCAATACTCCTCACTTTCGTCGTTTCTTCTCTTTGTTGCTTTTTAAAGAACATGGAAAAAACCTACTAGGGGAAGAACAAACCCTGATCTTGGTTGGCAACTGCTGTCTTTTTTCAAAATCTAAGAACAGAGGGCCCAGAGATTGGAGCCACCAGCAATTCTACTAGTAGTCTATATTCTTATCACTGCAGAATCAATTTGTGCTAAAGAGTTGACTGCACTGGTGGTGGTGGGCACCAGCACCAGCAGCAACAAGAAGTGAGGAGGAGGAAGAGGAGGATTGTTCCAAAAGATTGCTCTCATCAGGAGCTCCTGCCCTTCAGCAGAGCAACTAGTACTACTACTAGTAGTATCTTTCTTGATGGGAGTGGTGGTTCTGTACTAGATGACATTCCATTTTATTTATTTTTTATTTTGTATTTTCAGTTTCAATCTGTTGGTTTGGGAGTACACACCAGTACACCCTTCGACTGCAGCACGCACGATGTACGTACCCTGGGGCGGTATGAACATAATATTAGTAGTTCGATCCTGACGTGTTGGAACTTGGAACAATGAATAGAATTTCTTCGATGGGGGGCATGGAAACTTTCTCTGTTCCTTCTGAGCGACCGATTGGTATATGCGTGAAGAGGTCCAATAAATGAAGAAATTGCAGGGCCCAGAGTTAATAATTGTATCTATCTTCTGTTAAGTTGAAGCAGTGAATATCTATTTTTAACCTTTAATAGGCATTTCTTTGGAAGTCCTCAGAAAGAAAAGAGTCCGTTCGGCAACCACCATTGGGATAATCAGTTCTAACAGTACCATGTGTTAAGTGGGTCAACATTTGGATCGCAAACTAAACGGCAGTAACAGCCGGCCACAATTTTATTTAGTTCGTGTGCTCTCTCACGAAAAAGCAGAACCAACAGACATAAGAAAGAGTTACACTACTCCATCTTCGCAGGATTAAGATTGAATCGACACAATTTTATATTCTACAGGATTCACTGAATAGTTATTTGTAGTGAAGCTGTCCTGATAACAATCTTACCAACTCATTATTTTATTTCGCTCAGTTCAAACATCAGGTGCCGCTGTTTCGTTTCGTGTCAAAACATTGTGATACTTATGTCATATCAACAAGCACTTGCGGGATCAAAGAATCGATAAAGCGGCGAGGTAGTTGAATCTCTTCACGTTGAAACACCTTATCACGCTCAGCGTCCAAACCTCATATTAACGTTTTCCAGAAATATATACCGTGCGTGAATTAGGTAACTTGGTCATCCGATTTACCAGCACACCGTTCATTTTACATAGTCAGCTCTCATACGGTGCGAATAGCAGCAAGGTCATTATCAACAACAACCTCAACAGTATGGCAGGAAGATTCCCTTTCGACTCATCTGGCCATTCGGGTGGCAACCCAGTAAGTAAAATTGATTAAAAATACGAATACGAACAACCAGTAAATTCAATATACACCGATCTCGCGAACGAAAATTATAAACTGATCCGACGCGTCTGGAATAGAATTAGAATTCGCCCGTTTTTATCCATGTCATCTGCTCGTCGATCTCACATGCTCTATTTTAATGATTACCTTTATTAGCTAAACATAAACATTCCTCAAGTTCGGGCCGCCCTGGGCATTGATGAGGCCGTCTATGTACAAAGACAACAAGAAATGCGGGAGATCCAACTTCGCCAATTATTATTCCAAGATCGCATCGACCAATTCAACCAGCAAAATCGACTGGAAAGCATGCAGAATATACTTGTCCAAGAACAACAGCTCAAAGCACTAGGTGATCATCTTCAAGAGTATCCAGAACTGCAACATTATTCTCGCATTTTGTTAAACGAACAATTGCAGCGAAACGAAGAACGGAGTGTCACTGATCGCCTCCGATTACAAGCCGAGGAGGAACTGAGGAGAAGACAGGCATTAGCTCACCAACAACAACAGCTAGAGCAGCGACAGCAACAACAGCTACAGCAGCAGCAGCAGCAGCAGCAGCAACAACAACAACAACAACAACAACAACAACAACAACAACAACAACAACACAGTGCTCAGTTATCGCCACGATTACAGTCGACGGTTCCTGTAGTTCCTAAGACACAATGTGTAAACCAGTCAATGCTTCGTGACATAGCAGCAGATTCCCTAGCTGGCAATGCTATCAAACGAAGTGATTTTGACAAGAGGCAATTTGCACAACCTCGAAAAGAGATTCCGGAGACAGCAGCGTCGACGACGAAGAAGCGTGGGAGGTCTAGCTCAAAAGATACCATCGATATTGAGTCTTTGGGAAGTCGTAAAAAAGCGAAAGGAAAGAAAACAAAAACCGATGGTGCCACAAAGGTTGCAAGTAAGAAGGAGTCGAAAATTGAGAACAAAGGCAACAGTCGGAAACCTTCCGTGCAAGACTTGTTGGATTTTGCAACTTCGACGGAACCCAGCATGAAAAGTTCTGACTTATCGCCGTCTAAAACACTCGATCTTGCCTCCAAATCTCCCCGTGGATCATTCGGCGACCTCATCGAAGCAGCCCGCAAGGAAACTCAAAATGACGACGCAGCTGGTATATTGACCAGTATTAAAAAAGATACAACAGAATGGTCGGATTCTGAAGACGAACGAGCGGAGGAAGAGGAGGAACGCCAAATTGCTGTTGCAAAAGGGGATACAATTATACTTCCTAATTTTCAATCGTTTTTGCCACAGATTTCCGAGGAACCTCTATTGGAATTACCCGCTGGTAAAAAGAAGAAAAAACATAAATACTTTTTGGATGGCGACGACTCATCAGTCGAGACGAAACCAAGCGGGAGAAAGAAAGATACGAAAACCATTAGAGATGAGGAGAAGAAAGCATTCGAACGCGTATTTGGTGACTTGTCATATCCAATTGACCCCTGGTGGCCTACGGTTACTAGCATCAAACGCGAAAGAAAGTCCCTAGGACAAACACACAACGATGACGATGACAATTTACAAAAGGTTGGGAACGAAAATCAATTTCGGGCAAACTTGGAAAAAATTGAAGAAAGACTCAAGCATGACGTCGAACCAGGTGTTCTGGAGAAGATTCCGCACTGTAGATGTCATCGGATGGCAATGAAAAAGAGGAAGAACTCATCAAGCCAGGAACTTGTATATTGTACGCAGGTGACAGAACTATATCCAAATGAAGTGATGGTGTGCTGTTCACACTGTGGCACATGGCGACATACTTCTTGCGGTGGACACTACAAGGCATATTCTGTTCGAGAGGCCATAGAGAAACCTTTCAAAGCAATTTGCGATAGATGCTACGTAGAGGAGAAAATCCTGAGCGACAAACCTCTCGCTCGGAAACGTATCGATAGACAACGAATCGAACAACTCCGTCGTGGGTTATCAACATCTGCTGCGATGCGACAGCATTCTTTTTCCAAGCACGGGGGTACATATAAGTGGCCTCTGGGAAGTGTTTCTGCTACTCATATTGGAGGCCACACCCGTAGCGTCCATTCTCGTCACGATAAAGCAGAGAAGCAATGGACAGATATGGCGACAAAACTTGGTCGAGGATATGGACACAGACCAAAAGAAAAGGTGAAGGTCAGAACAAAAGAATTTGAAAGACTTCTCATATCGATTGAAGATGCAGGTAAGGAAGTAAAGAGGCAAGCAACCTTGACTTTTTGCATGTAATCTCATGGTTTCTCTGACGTTGTTCAATTTTTGCTTGGTCAAATCGATTGTTTCAGAGGGCCATACGGATAGACACAATATGCTGGTCTTTCTAATGCAGGACACTCTGAGAACTGACCCTGTAGGATTTGAGAAGCGTCGTCGGAATTTGTTTGATCCTGAAGATGACGAAGACGACCAAGAAGAAGACACCTCCAATGCAGAAGTTCTTTCAGGCTCAGAAGATGAATCCGAGAATAAAAAGCCGACGGTATTGGCTATAACGGAGCAGAAAAGTCGCAATAATTTGGAGGATTCGGATAAAGGTGCAAATAAAGATGCATGCGCTATTTGCGCCAAAAAAGGATGCAGCAAACTATCCCGTTTTGATTCTATTTTCTGTTCGGATGCTTGTGGGGTGTCAGTTTTGGAGAGCGATCTACTTCGGACTTTCTTCTACTCGAGTGACATTCACCCATCTTCGCTTCGCCATTGATCGCAAAGCCGTTCAAGGAGCAACAGCTTGAGATAATTTAACCACTCCCATATGTATAAATGAAAGAATGCCGTATTCAGCTTCAAGGCCTACTTAGTGGCAGCTAGAAAGAAGCCAATAATACTATTTATAAATACTTCCAACATTAATTGCTTTCCAACAAGGGTGAGTGAATAGTGAGAAGCACTTCTGGCTTGATGTTTTGAATATTATGTACCAGCACCACCAGTAGTAGCATTGTTTTTCAAATGAACTACTAGAGCTAATACCAATACTACTTGTAGCACTATGATTATTACCAGAGTAGTAGTACTAGTAGTAGTACTACTACTCTTAGTAGTGCTACAAAACTAGTACTAGTAGTACTGATGATTCAATCTTGACATTGAGAAGAACTCATTGTCACAGGAGCTTCTTCTTGTGATGCACTTCTTACAGCAGCGAGGAAGAGTAGAACAACAGATAATACTAGTAGTAGTACTATGTGACGTACTACTACTACTACTACTACTAGTACTACTACAATAGTACTATAAGCAGCAGTACGTCACAGTAGTACTAGTATTAGCTGGTTCTTGTTGTATCCACTACCATATTTTTGTGCTTGCTTATGGGCGTCTACTACTAGTAGCTACTACTAGTACTAGTACTACTACTAGTAGTAGTAGTACAGGTAGTAGTAATAATACCACCAGCACTACAAGAAGTCATGTCCTGTTCAGCAACTTCCATCGGTGTTGCGAAATTAACCATTTTTGCGATAATTTTGCGGAGTTCGAGTACATACCGGTATGTACGAGACCTTACAGTTTTGTAATGTAAAGCGCAAGAATTTGAATAAAGCTATCATAGTACTTTTGATAGTCTGACCTTTTACCGCTAGGTCAGAATACCTTTTATCGCCTTACTTTTTTAATTGTTAACGCGTTAGGAATTGATATCCCGATCAATTCTTGCGCATGAGTCCGCAGCGTGCCTATGGCTGATCGAACTACCCGTTAGCAGCACTAGGAGTGCATCATATGCATCTGTTGGCGTTTCAATAGTCCCTTCCCTATTCGTAAGGTACGACTGTAGAAGCTACCATGGTGAACCGAGCACTTGATTAATATTACAGCAATGAAAGAGTAATTACTTGTGGTATTCGTCTATCTTTATCTCACCCCGGGATTGTTTTCTGTACGTCGAATCTTCTTGGCACAGTATATATTTCTATTAGACAACAATTTTCAAAATGGTCAAGGCGTACGAATTAAGAGATATGTCCAAGGAGGACCTCCTTAAGACACTTACAGACCTTCGTAAGGAGCTCGGTGAATTGCACGTTGCCAAGGTCACTGATGGTGCTGCATCGAAGATCGCTAAGATCAAGTCGGTCCGAAAGTCGATCGCCCGAGTCTTGACTGTCCACAACCAACAACAGAAGGCCGGACTTCGCAAGGCCTGCGAAGGAGCTAAATACGTTCCTAAGGATTTGCGAAGCAAGAAGACACGGGCTATGCGACGTGCATTGACTAAGGCAGAAAGAGGAAAGAAAACCCTTAAGGCGAAGCGAGCCGCTGCTGCCTTCCCCAAAGTGAAGTACGCCATTAAGGCATAAAGACTCTTATAGGGATGTACATGAACGACAAAATTACTCGAAACTTTGAGACCATTTTACTTGTGGAAGAATTGATTTGTTTGTACAGTTGACTGCAGGTAGCAGCTTTAATCGGTGAAAATGGATTCGGGCCAAATGCAAGGGTAACAGCAGTCGTAAGCCAGCAAACAGTTTCTCAGCTTCTGGTTTTGTGGAATTAGTGCTCTGTTCTCTACATTTCTGTTCGGCAAACTTTGATGTCAGGGGCTTTGCATTTACATCGCGCCGCTATCGAAAACCCCCTACCCTATTTTTGAGACTGTGTCAACTGCGATACGGAAGGTTGGATTCGCTGTAGACGTTGATCAACTTAGTAGTCCCCCCCCCTCCCCACCCTTGTACACGTTCAGGCATCTGCTCATTGCTTCAAAAATGCAAGTTTTATTCCGAACTCATTCATGCCTTGCTTTTCGTGCCGATCAAGGGCGAACTGCCTCATTCAGACGAAGATGAATGCAATTCGTGCTCCAGTCGTCCTTTTTTCATGATCCCGACTTGCAGTAGATAGTAAAGAATTCGCGTTGAACTGCAGAACTTCATCTCATGTCAACCAAAACTCGGGAAGAAGAAAGGATGTTTTCAACCTGCTCTCATGAGAAAAATATGATTGGCATCTACTTCACTGTTCTTGATGTTGTCCTTTTTGAATTGAAATTGTCAAGCTGATGCTTTCTACTACTAGTAGTAGTAGTTATAGTAATGAATCAGTTGGTGTGAGCTAGAAGAATGCATTCTTGTGTCTGAACTAGTCACAAATGCCAACCAGTCTGTGGTGTTGCCCACCACCACCAGTGGGTCATCAACAACAAGAACTAGTAGTAGAAGCAATCACCGCCACCACCAGCATTACTACTAGTAGAAGCCAGTAAGAACAAGAACAACAAGAAGAACAACACCAAGAAGAACAAGAAGGTGGTGGTGGTAGTACTAGTACTACTAGCTAGTAGTACTACTACTAGCTCCTTCATTCTGGTCTACAACGACTGATCAGATATTGGATGCCTGAACTCCTCGTTAACGATTAACGATTTTAAAGCATTCATTTGCTTGCATCACTACAAACACCATCTTTGCTAATTGTTTCAATAACAACTTCTTCACTACTGTATTCTGAAATATTCTGAAACTTGAGAAACAACTCATCAACTTCAGAAATTCCAATTCCTACTTGGAGGGGTGACCGTACAGTGTCGTGCTAGTACGTACGTTCGTACGAAGGACTGTCTGTTGGTATGGTGCGTGCCAAGTTCAACAATCCAAGCAGGGGGGAAAATCCGAAAACCATTCCGCGTAACGCTCATTGTACGGCATACATAATTCGAAACGACGCTATTGAGATCACCCGTAAGCTTTGATAGGATGCTATTGATTAGGATGACGCACCTTGCTCTTTGTGTCTGGATACTTATCTCTACAACAAAAATCACGGCGTTGAGTGCGTTTCAATCTTCTGAACAAGCCAGCCACAAAACTTCATCTCGATGTTCTACGTACACTGATGTTGATCAACCCTCGTCTTCCTTAGCAACCGACGGAAACTTGAATCGAGATATCAAAGCTTTAGAATCATGGGCACAAGGGCAAGGTGTTTCGAAAGGCAATGGGTTCGTTCTGTCGGAAAATAATATCGGGGATTGGAGCGTTTCGGTGACCGATGCCGGACGCTCAGGGGAACTGGTTTTGCAGATTCCATCCTCCCTTGTTTTGTCATCGGCAGTTATTCGAGAGGAGAAAGAAATCTTTGATAACTCATCTGCTGCAATAGAGTTTTTGAAGAGCAACAAGCTTGACAGCCAAGTAGATCAATTTCTTCTATGGCTCAAAGTATTACGAGAATACGAAAAAGGAGAAGAATCAAAATTTCATCCTTGGCTGTCATCTTTACCGAGAACATTCAGTAACGCCATTTGCATGGACGAAGTCGAATTAGATTGTTTAGCACCCTTTGCTTGGTCACTTGCCAAGATAGAAATTCTTCACAAGGATAAGTTTATTGAGGCGTTGCAATTGACAAAAGGAATCGTTTCGCAAGAAACGAAGGAGAACTACAACTTGCTTCGGTGGGCATTCAATGTTGTCTTCAGCCGATGCTGGGGGCAGGACGGGGACGAAGATGAAGATCGTCTAGATATCGTCCCGATGGGTGATATGTTTAACCACGCACATCCTGCAAACGTTTTCATTGATTATGACGAGGACCGGAATTGCAATATCATCCTAAAGGAGGATGTGAAACCTGGAGATGCACTGAACTTGAGCTACGGGTTTCCATTTAATCCGTATCGATTCTTGGTTGTCTTCGGATTTGTCGACGAATCCCTAGAAACAATTTATTCGCAACTTCTGTCAGCAAAGCCTTCGAAGCGTCACGTTGATATGGGGTACGATGTTAGTAAGATGACATTCAACGTGACAGATGGATCCTTCACCGAAGAAGTCTGGGATTTTGTTCTATATTCCTTGCTAGAGCAAGTCCCAACCATACAAGACGCTTATTACGAAGCCCATATTTCGGGCAACCAAGATGGGAAAGATTCAATTCGACGAAAGTACTACTTGGAAACATGTATAATGTTGAAAAAACACGTAGACAACACCCTTCTCGAGATGGAAGATCTCATAAAGAAGATCGACGAGCATAATATGGACGAGCACGAAATTCTTCCTATGATTCGACGCAACAACGTTTTCGTAGCACGGGTCTTCTCAAAAGTTAAATACAATGTAGATAACATGATCCAGGAAGAGCTGATGGCAAGAAAAGCCGAAGAAAAAGAGCAGCAGAGATCGAAGGGGACAGAATTGTAAAGGAGATTTCTTCATTTAAAATGCGTAGGGTAACGACATACAAAAGGTGTTCTACCGTATCTAGAGAAAATTGAGCCATGCACTATCACAAAAGTAAATATTCATCTAGTAATTATATTTTTATTCATCGGCGAGTCCCTCGTGGTGGCGACCCTCGCCTGTTTGATCTAGCGGCTTTCTTCTTTTTGGGTTTTACACCAAAACGTGCTCCAGGCCTGTAGTCAGACTTTCGCGAGGAGAGCCCATCAAGTGTCTCTCCGCGAAGAACCGCTTGTTGAATTGCTGTTGCCAATACTTTATCGCGTTTTGCAACGAGAGCGGTAACCTTTCCCTTGCCTGCTCCTCGAGCTGTGCGTCCACTTCGATGCAAATAATCCATTGCATTGAGTGGGAAATCAAACATAACCACGCTATCGACTTGTGGAATGTCCAAACCCCTGGCTCCAATATCTGTGCATACCAAAATCTTGTTGTTGTCGAAGTTATCAGTTTCCATTGATTTGTCGCTTGCTATCTCTCGAAACTTCTTCAGATTTTCCGTTCTGACCGCACTGTTGAGTTCCCCATGGTACGCAAGAGATTCCATGCGTGCTTCTGCCAGCGCATACTGAACGGCGCGAACCGAAGATGCCGTGTTGCAGAAAATGATTGTTGCCCTGGCCCTTTGAGAAGCAATTACATCAAGAAGCAGACTGACCTTATCAGTTTGTCCAACATCTACGAATATCTGCTCGAGTCGTGGAATGGCCTTGTGCAGTCCGGGTGTAGAAACAATTTTCATGGGTGGAAATTTCAATTTCGCATTGGCCCCAGAATCTTTTTCGTCAGCATTAGCGGCAGGATGACTTCCATGAAGCCTTTTGGCAGTAACAGCCAACTTCGATGTTTTCGGATTTTCTCCCAAAAGTCGTTGAATACTTTGTGTCATTGTTGCCGACGTCATTACAATTTGAGGGGCATTCTCCTTTAGTGGTAGATTTGAAAAGTTATCATTTGGGACTACTTTGCCAGCCTTTTTCTTGACAGGTCTGGTGCCTCCCCACCCATCTTTCTCCGCTGCAATGTCAACTTCTTTTGGACTCGCGGCATATAAAAGTGGGTACATTATGTCTCTCAGTTCTCGTTGGAATCCCTGTTCTAGCATCGTATCCATTTCATCTACAACAACAGTCTGCACGCTTCCCAAGAAAAGGTTTCCGTCCTTCCATTGCTGCAGAAGGCGTCCTGGGGTAGCCACTACAATATCTACCGGCCGGTTTTCCATTGCTTTTCGCTGCGAACCCTTATTTACACCTCCTACTAACGCCTGCGTACTCAATTTCACCGCGTGCGAGAGAGATTTGACGACCGCGGTAATTTGCAATGCCAGTTCTCTAGTGGGAGCGAGAATCAAAACTCTCGGCCGCTTTGGTCGACGCTCGTAGTCTTCGAACATTTCTTGTTCTTTGAGCTGCTGTACAAGTGGAAGCACATAGGACAGGGTTTTCCCCGATCTAGATTTTTGGAAATTAGTAAAGCATGATGATGAATGAAGAGACAAACCGCATATTTTGGTGTCCATCGTTATACAATATATGAGAGCATGTTCTCATGGAAAACGGTTCCACCATCTCGATTGTTGAGGCTAAGACACCGAGTAATTATAAGACGATGTTGTAACCAAATGTATTTGGTATCTCTTGGTACTGAACTTACCCAGTGGCAGCTAAAAACGCTATGGATTCTTTTTCCGTTCCAAGCAATTGCGGGATGACCAAGGATTGGACCATGGTTGGCGTGGGAAGCTTCAGCTCGTCTTGCAAGCAAGAGCAAATCTCCGTGAGCAGACCCAGTTTGTTCCACGACAGAGCCGCACCCGAATTGGCGCTGTTCTTTCCAGCTTTCTGAGAGGAGTCATCGGCACTATTTCTGGGCATTCGAAAGGGGGCACGGGATTTTGATATGGCCGAATCATCCGAGGAAGTGGAATATAAACAGCTGTCTTTGCCGAATCCTCTATAATTGGGAGCGGTAAATGGACCGTAAATGCTCTTTTGGGTTATTGTTCGCACTGAAGACAGTCCCTGGAATGATCTTGCAGAGCGCCGCGACACGGATGATGGCACCAGGAACGCACATGACCTAGTGATCTTCCCCAACATCATAATGAAACTGACGATCAACAATCCAAGGAACCAATCTGATCTCGCCGGCTTCCTCCTGTTGGAAATATAACACTTCATGAGTGAGCCACTCTATCGTCTAGATGCAATAAGTTATTGCGATGTGGCTTGGTAAAAGGAAGCTCTCTCTATCTCCTCTAGTTTGTTGCAAGGGAATAGTATCAACTTTGCCAATTGATTGTGTCGAATGTAGCGATGACTGCCGCGCAGGTATTATATGTTGATGGCTGTCGGTGCCGAAATAAAAGAATTCGATACCGTGTGTCGGAGTTCCTGTATCAGTTCCCCTAAAGAGACTGACTAATTTTCCGACGGGGGGGGAACAGGTGCTGCTGCTAGCGAAGGGGTTGCGGATGAATCATATCATGTGACATATTCTTTCGTAGTGTAGGATACGCAGTGATGATGGAAAGTGTGATAGCGTACCGTACCAAAACAAAAATATTTTAATGGAGCTGCGTGGCGAGTCTGTCTGTCTCGCGACGTTTTCCTAAAAACGATGTGATAAAACCGACTTGGTTGTAGGATTTGTACTCTACTGTAGTGCGCAGAGGTTCAGACATGAAAATTCTTTTTGAACAAATTTCAAAAGGGGGTCGTACCATACAGTAGGGGGAGGGCTGTTCAGCAGCGATGGGAAAAAGTTGAGTAAGGTACCTCGTACTTGGTACTGTACTACCCGTACGTACGAATACCCTAGTCGTACACCAGTAGAAGTAGTTTTTAATATTATTTTTTGAATGAAGAGGAATGATGATGAATCTAGTCACAAGCCATCACAACAGGTCTACCTAGTATCATTATGGGCACGATCGAAACAAGAGCTACGTCTCTTTTGCCATGAACCGCGTCTCAGGACGAAAGGGATTTTGGATATCCAATGAAAGAACCCCTGAAAAAGCTCACACGATACTCCTTTCATGATGCTCATTGCAAGCACAACTTTTGTGTCCACGCGCCGCCATCTCTCACGGCACTATAATTTTGGAGCTATCGAGTTCAAGTATTTCATTAACCACGTGAACAAGAGATACGATGGAACAAAAACCTCGGCAAAACTAACATTTCACGAAGACGAACACCAAAAACCCGAAAACCATCGCGCATGTAACCGAAAATATCGTGGTATTCTGAAGATTCGCGAGTCGTCGTCCGGCAAGGGTTTGGGTCTCTTTGCTACGAAGGATTTTGCGATTGGGGATTTAGTCATGTCGTCTCGACCAGTCGTAACCACAAAAGAAAGAAGCTCGCACACGGTCCAAATCGATTGGGATCGACACATTCTCATGGACTTACCGGCAACTCTTGTGAATCATTCTTGCGATGCAAACCTAGGGATACAAAACAATAGCAATGGAGTACGAGACGAAGATGACGGCGAAGAGTACTTTGGTGCCTACGATTTTTATGCAATTCATCCGATACGAGAAGGTGAGGAACTTACGTGGGATTATGAGACATCCGAATGGGAGCTTTCTACATTCTTTCAATGTACTTGCGGCAGCACGAAATGTCGAGGGTTTTTACGCGGATTCAAACAAAATGCAGATATGATTCGGCAGCAGAATGGAGAGTATCATGCTGCCTACTTGAAATAATAATAAAATTCAATATTTTGTAGTTCCGAAATGATGCAACGTGGAAAAATTACAAATCAAAGCACTATCCATTATTAAGTTTTCATCATAATTGAGATCCTTTTCTTTGTTGAATAGCATTAAAAGCCCTTGCTGGCTTCAATGGCCGCACTTCGTGCTCCTTCCACGAATTTTTCTACCTTGTCATGATCCTTGGTTCCAGGGCTAGCTTCTACGCCACTGCTGACATCCACTCCCCAAGGTCGAGTGGCAATGACGGATTCTTGAACATTCTCGGGTGACAAACCACCGGCGATGATGACGGGAACACCAGCATTCTGAATGCGTTCTGCAATGGTATGATCGAAAGTAACACCGGTACCGCCTCCTGCTTGCTGCCCTTTGATGGAAGTATCCAGCAAAATTGCAAGGGGATCAGTTGTAATAGAGCCCAGAATCGTTTCGACAGCATTATCAGATGCCTTCCCTGTTTCGGGATCAACCTCGATGTCAACGACACGGATTGCCGGCACACTGCAATTTTCTACACTCGCGGCCGCCATGCCCTCATTGCCGTGCAACTGCACCAGATCTAAACCGCATGTTTCGACCATTTCCCGAATGTATTCTGGAGACTGATTCTGAAAGACACCCACCACCAAAGGCCGTTTTGAGGCTTCTTCGAGCACTCTGGCATTGCTCACCATCTGAGAAGTCGGCGAGCCTACTTCGGCTGTTTGTAAAGCCGTACGTGCTGTACGCTCTCCAAAGACACGAACGGCATCCACAACGGCACGGCCCTGTTCTGGCGAAACGCATCGTTTGCTTTTCGGAACAAAAATGACACCAATCAAGTTTGCTCCGATCTGGCAAGCAACGAGTGCGTCTTCAGGGTTGGTAATGCCACACACCTTCACAAGTTTAGTCCCTCTCGTGTAGGCTCCACCACTGGCAGTTGCTGGGTTTTCCTCGTTCTTAGCCCAGTCTTCTGGGTCGAGGCAAAGACCCGCAATGGCGGCTTTCGGATCGGCTGCTCGCATCAATGATTCTCCGATCAAACACATACCTACATTGATCGAACGGTATCGATCAACGTCGAATGCCGACGACATGCCCGACAGAGAACAAAGGGTGTATTTCGAAGCGGAAGCTGCCTCCTTCGAGCTATGATCAAAGGAACAACCTTGCTTCGTCAATTCGTCCGCAACGTGTTCAGTCGTTTCCAAATCCATCTGGAAAGTGTGAAGATTACGATTGTTGACTCCAATAACCTTTGCTCCAGCTTGGAGCGCCACTTCAAGCTCCACATCCGCGTGGACTTCGACAAGAGGTTCCATCCCAAATGATCGAGCATGATCGATCAATTCCTTAAGCAAATGCTGCGGCAAAACTGCCACAATCAACAAGATGGTATCGGCGCCCTTCGCTAAGGCCTCAGTAATTTGATACTTATTGGTCGTAAATTCCTTTCTCAATATTGCCGCTCGATTGCCCGTGTCTTTGTCGATGGTAGACAGGCGAGCCGACGTGAGATCCTCTAAGGAGCCTTGGAACCAGCGTGGTTCAGTCAAGACACTCACAACATTCGCTCCCGCCGAAGCATATGATTTGGCTTGATCTCCGGCATCCAAATGAACTGCAATGTTTCCCTTAGAAGGAGAGGCGCGTTTGAACTCGGCTGCAAGCGCCATTCGCGGAGCCTGTTCCTGGATGACGCTTCTCAAATCCAACAGCGGGCCGTGTTCCTTCCAGAAGGATGTCATTTCCTCCTCGAGGATCGCTTCCGGAACTTTGTCATCGCTGCCTAGGTATCGCTCATAATCCAAAACACGAGTGGCTGTGATCGATTGTAATTTGGAGAGTTCGTGGTTGTCGTAATCCTCAAAGCCAAAGAGGTGGCGTCCGTCGTGGGCCGGATCCGAGGAACCTTCCAACAGACTGTAAAGAGCATCCTTAAGCTCCTGTTGGGAGTATTGCGGATGAGCTGAAGAGTCGTCGTTCATGCTATCAGTAACGGAATTTGGTTTTTCTTCGGTTGTTGAATGAAGAGTGCTGAAGTTATTTCTGTTATTGATGATCTTGCGTTGGGTAGACGGAAAGGTAGGGGAAGAACTCCACGCTGCACACGAAAAAACACTACTAAGGAAAAGTGATATCGTTGTCAGAGCAACGATGTTGGACATGATATGTATAGCTGAGGATATCTCTAAAGCTGTGACCTGCTTCTGTTGGTCGATGGTTCGTAAAAGGGAGTGTTCGAAGTTACCAATCCTGATGGCAAATCTCCAACAGAGTGTCGTATGGTAGGATTGGAGCTTGGTTGCATGTGCTGTACTCGTCACGATATTCCAATAGAAATAGTCCTTCAACTCGTTCACACTGACGATTTGAAATTTTCAGATCCTGACTTCTTCGCGGCTCTGACTACCGCACAAGTATTCGGGGGATTATTGGATTAGTCGAGGAGCATTGGATTCCCCCATTTAAAGACATTTGAAGACACTGATGAACTGAGAAAGTTCATTCCTCGTATCGGTTGAAACGGGACTTGTTCTCAATCGTGCTAAATTATAAATTATGGCTATTTTTTTCAGATGTTACGTGAAGTACGAGTACTTGTACTTTACCCGAACGAAACTTAAGTCACCACCAACGGTAGGTACGATACTACAACGAACCGTAGTACGTACGTAACCGGGTTGCAGGGGTTTCAGTAGGGTAGGGTTCTCCCTACTTTTAGGTACGTACTCTTACTACCGTAGTCCTTCGTATGTTTTTCTGACTCCATGATTGGGGTTCTCAAAACATCACGACCACGACCATTGGCCGTTGCGACAAGCACAGTGCGCCTAAGTGACTCCGGAGATCACTTTAGTTGACAAGGATAGTACGGTACAAAGTACAGTATGAGGTACGAAATGTATTTAACACGAGTCGCTAAAAGAAATTCCACGGCGAATGGCTACGATGTCGATTTTGATTCTTACTGTACGGCCCTACTGTATTCTTTACAACTCGTACAATGCCATACCGCACAGAAAACAAAATTTGGCACATCTTTCATTTTCAAAAAGCGAACAAACCAGAAGCACAAAGGCAACAAACCAAAGCACAAAGAAACATAACTGAAAAGCACACCAGAATAGAAGCAACCTTACGAAACGAATAGATTCAGCACAAAGAATAGGAGACAAAACACGAACCACTCAAGCAAAAATGTCGTCTGCACCCAAGAAATACATTAAGATCAAAGGGGTCATGAAAATGAATCCCGAATACAAGGCATGGAAAAACAGGCAAGAGTCAGGAGGAGCAGTACCAATTCCCCAGGCAGCTGCTACATCCCCAAAAGATAATGCGTTGCCTGTGATTTCCAATATGGATGATCACATGCAGCTAAACGAGGACCTTGGAACTGACGTCCCCCTTGCCGAAGCCACGAATGCCACCATCGAAATGATGCAGGAACCCGACATCAGTCTTGAAGCCGGAATGCAACCCGATGAAATGGTAGATGAATTGGGAGCCGTCCTTGGAAAATATGAAGTACCCATGGGACTCATGAACAAACGTAAGTTGTGATAACTTATTCCTCTGTTTATCGTCTCGGGAATTGATTGGCGATGAGTGACCAAGTCTTTGCACCACAAAGCTTCCCGATAACTCACATATGGCTTATTTTATATTCTAAACATTCCTTATCCTTATTCATCGTCCTACGACCCTATTTTGACATGATTTCATTAGTCATCATGCTGAGTGAATTCGATAGTTTGGAATTCATCATCGATGACAGTGGAAGCATGCAGATGATTTCCGACACTATCAACCCCTTAACAAGAAAGCCCAATACTCGGTGGCAAGAAGCCCACCAACGATTAAAGGAAATGATAGAAATTCTGGCCTACGTGCCGTTTCAGCAAATCGGTATTGAGTTCTTAAATCGTCAGGACCGCATTCTGTTGACTCGACAAGGTATGGCCCCGAGAGACTTCCTTACCGGAGCTTATGATCAAATCGATGCTCAATTTGCCAGAGGACCCTCTGGAACAACCCCAGTACTTGAAAAGCTTCAGACTAGTTTATTGCGGGGACAGGGGCACAGCATTGCACGGTATTTCTTCGGGGATGGTGTTCCCAACGGTGGGCAAATGGCAGTGAAGGAAATAGCACGAATTGTTACGAATCGTGCGGAGCCTGCAGCAAATCCCATCACTTTTCTCAGTTGCACCAACCAAGACGACGACGTGGAATGGATGAAAGAGACAGAAGAGATCGCTCCTTATTGCTCTGAATCTGATGACTATGGTGACGAATCCAGGGAAGTTTTGGGAGATCAGGGTGAGGCCTTGCCATACACTCGTGGGTTTTGGCTGATTTGCCAGCTGGTCGCGGCGATGAATCCGGACGACTTGGATGCCATGGACGAAAGCATACCTTTCACGAAGATGACGCTCGACAATTTGCTAGGCATTGTTCACAACGAGGCGTCCTACAAATACTATTTCGATTCTTTTCTAGAGAATCAAAGGAAACGCAGCGCCTATAATGAGATGGACCGTCTGAAGAAAAACACAAGATGGAGTTACCATGATTTTCTTAACGCAGCCGTTGCGAAAGACATTTCTCAAGTTCGAGACTTCAAGCAAAAGATGGCTCGGATGAACCATCATTGATGCTGAAGTTGTTGTTCATCTATCAATTGAGAGGGCTGATGGAAACCATGTGGATGTTACTACTTCAAATAATTAGTATGCATCAAGTGCGTTTATTGTAAGTATGTTAAGTGGTGTAAAGTAAAATCATTACGACCAGAATACTATAATATAGAATTTTCTTTTATGCGTTTTTGAGTGATGAAGGGTACGAGCATGTGTAGTATGAGCATTCCATGAGTATTCTTCGGGATCGGCTCGATTATAAGAATATTGAGGGGCAGGGCGACACAAATGTATGAAGACATGTGCTATTGATTCGACGAACCGCAAATCCCGCCTATACCATGGTTGCAGAGGATGTCATGAGCTCCTCACCTTTTGTCTTGTGCCCTGTACTCTTTCTTTGGTTATTCAATTTTTTCAGTAGGGTGTGTATCAAACTAAAAGTTGGATCCAGTGTTGGCAGAGAAGGCGATACCGCAAAATTGATAACAATTGCTCGGTTCCCATTCTTTGCTTCATAAACAATACTACCTCTGCGGAGCTGAACGTTTGACACTCTTGTGGGCCCAATTTCAACCCTGTTTATGCCATTTTAGACTCAAGTTACTTGAAACCATCTACGAAATGAGGAGAAATAGCGATGAAGAGATTCGTAGAAAAAGGACGGGATTATTATGTTTGGAGTTGAAATTATAGATTTATTGCGCTAAACAAATGTTTTAAATTCACAGTATTCTCTGGTACACATTTCATTGTGACACCACATCATTCGAATTTCGTGGGCCACCGCATTTTGCAGAGAATTCCGATGCATCGGCAAGGATCCATTTGCCATCCTCAGAAGCACATGCACTCAATAGAATCTGCTTGAAAAGATTATCTGTGCTGAATACTGGATACCCAGCCGATTCTAGCGCCTCGACAAAGGGGTCGAGGGATTTGTCCGACGATGGCTGCTGGTTGCGGACGCTGGTCATCAGAGCCAATGGCGCTCTCGAGATATTGCAAACCAAGTCAAAGAACGCATCGGCATCGGAGACACCGGCACAAATGCCGTGTTTTTCCCATTCGTGGTTCTCAAACCATCTCTCGTGTTCTATTGTGTCACCATCCTCGTCGTAGCAGTAATGGATTTTGGCTGGGTCTAAAGTAGACTTTGGAGGCAGACATTTACTCGATCCATAGCGACCAGTTTGTGGCCAAAGACCATGGACCCCTGGTTTTTGGTCTGTTCAAATTGTGTTGGAATGCGGCATGGTAATCCCACAAGAGCAACGCCAAGAAGAATTCCAAGACAATCGTTTAGATATCTTTTGAAGCGAAATTGGAGAAAACATAATCAGGGAAACAACGTCGTTTGTCCTTACGTTTGTAATAACCTTTGCCATATCCGGTTTCCAGGGTAAGAACTCCGCAGAGTGGGGCCGTGCCGCAGTCCATGTACCGTGCACCCTTTACCAGGTGGGAAACATTGTTTTCAACAAGAGTCGAGGACAGACGACGGTTCCACTCAGAAAACGAGTCGAAAAAGAAGTTCGATGTCGCAATAAACAGCATGCATGAAAAGAAGACCGAAAGCGTGCAAGCGCGAAGGGGATTCGACCTGTTCGTTCTGTTGCTGTGGTCTTCACAAATACCGTTATCAATATAGACCCTATCCGATGAGCCTACACAACGGCCATCGTCGGTCGATACATTTGAACCATTCATTTAATCGAAATACTAACCACTACTGCGAAATTTTGAGAAGGAATCGAGGACTCCAGATTACAAAAGGAGATTCATTGACACTGTACGTACTTAAACTTTCGGATACTTCCATCGTTTTTTTTTCCTTTCGTGTTTTCAAGAAAAGAACATAGAAATACGAGTGCGTCTAACTTCCGACATTTTCGGTTTGATGTGTCTTGTGTTGTGTCGCTCGTCGTTCCGGCCGGTACGGTGGTACGATTCCTACATTGCAAAGGTAGTAGCAGTAGTGCGTACGTTCCTACCTAGCCTACCCGTACCCGTAGGGCACACGCTGAAAGAGTGACAGGCACGTCAAGAAAAGCGAATCATCCTGCATCTCACCGTCTTCAAAATCTCTTGAATTTTACCTTCAACGTTTTTGAAATGTTGCATTCGCGTTGCTTTACTTTTGCTAGTTGCTCACACCATAGTACCGTATTAAATGCACAGCAAAACAAAAAATCACCCATCTATTCCTGCATCGCCAATAGAACATGCAATTGACTCCGCTTGGATGCATACTATCGAGAAGGTGTTCGGCGGCATCGACGAAAGCAGCAGCAAGTTGCGGTAAATCATTCGCCGGCCTCGGTGTTTGTGTTCGGTTAGAACGTAAAAATCTGTGGCGGCATTTCTCGGTTGACACCGACGCTGTGGGTGGGGGGAGGCCTTCCGGAGAGCGGCTGCGGATTGCTGTTGTTGGTGGAGGGGCAGCCGGGCTTTCCACGGCCCTCCACCTGGCTCCCCTGGTGACCGCTGGATTGATCGGTGGCCCGATCGATGTTTTCGAAGCCGGAGAACGCCAATCGTCTTCGATCGGAGTGGGGATATGGAGCACGGCACTGTACGCTTTTCGAGACTCTAAGGACGTCGAATCGCACCAGATTGTCTTCGACGACATGTTTCGGAAGGGTACCCTGTCCGAAAAAGTCGGCTTTCGGTCTCCCAGCGGCGATTGGCTCGCCGAATCGAACCTGGCGGGAGACAAGACGCCGGACTTTCTCTTTTTGCGGGAATCGGACATGCTCGGTGCGCTCCGAAAGGGAATCGACCACGAGGTCCAGCGGGGCAGGGTTGTCGTGCACTCGGGACCATCGGGCAGGATTGATTCCATCGCGGAGGATTCTCCCGAGCCGTGGTCTGCGCCCTTGCTGGTTCGGAGCGACGGGCCGGAGAACAATCCACCGGAACCGACCGAGCGCGACTACCACCTGATCGTCGCCGCCGACGGGATGAATTCCGTCCTCCGAAAGACGTACGGTGGCCATGTTGCGAAACGAAGGCGGCGGTTCCTGGGAACCGGCGCGATGGGGAACGAATCGGACGGGCTCCTGGACCTGCCCGGCGATGGAACCACCGAAGACCGGTGGGACGTGAGGACCCATTCCGAAGCGACGAACATCCAGGATCGGCACTACCACGTGTTCCGCGGGAATTCGACGGTGACGCGAGACGAAGTCGAGGGACTGGAGAACGCCTTTCAGACCTGGGGAGAGTCCTGCAACATGAGGTTCGCAACGGTTCCGATGGAATTTCCCCTGCCCGGCGGAAAGACGAGGGAAATGCACACCTGGTTCATCACGATCGACGACGAGTCCATCTCGTCCGAAGCGGATCCCGAGCGGCGCAAAGAAAAGCTTCTGGGGGCCTTTGCGGACTGGCACGACCCCATCCGCCAGCTGGTCGGGGCGACCCCCGCGGCCGAGATCTCGATGGAGCGGGCCGTAGCCCACGTGCACTCGTGCGAGCCGGTAGTGAACTTCCGCCGGGTGGTGGAGCAGATGCGCGGGGTGCCGTTTCCCTCCGGCAGCCGGGGCCCGGTCGTCCAGTTCGTGGGGGACGCCTTTATGACTGTGGACCCGATCCTGGCGCAGGGGTTTACCATCGGGATGGAGGGGGCGGCCGCCCTTGCGGAGTCTCTGGAGCGCTGCCTGCGACAGGACCTTGGAGGAGCGACCGGCCCGCCCCTGGGCCAGGGGAGTGGAGGACGGCTCGCCTTTAGCCCCCGCTTGGTGCGAAAGGAGCTCCTGGACCGGCACGACCGGCGGATGGACCGGTTGATCTGCCTGCTCCGGAGCTCCGAGCTGGTCCAGGCGCTGGGCCAGCCGACCAAGGGAAGCCTCTCGGGCTGGATCAGCCGGTGGCTCGTCCGGCCCGCGATGCGCCTGGCGCCGGGCTTTGCCAAGACCCCGTTCTTCAACCGCGTCATGGAATACTCGCTGGGGCTGCACACGGGGGGGCAGAACAAGTAAGCCACCCGGGGCCGAACCGCACGAGAACAGACCACGGCCGGGCCAAGGAACCCGCGATCGACGCACTGTAGAATATCTATACAATACAATACAAAACCACAAAGAAAAAGACAAAGACAAACGCMCGCGAGAATCTAACTGTCGCTGCCCGAGCGAAACTCTAAACCCATGGAATGCATACCATGGAATGCATACCACAACAACAACAACAACAACAACAAGGACCCGCTATCTTCTCGATTGTTATAAACTAGCTAAACATTACTGTATTATATTTAACCTCGTGAACTAGAAGAGGCACTATATGACCAGAACCATATTTTTGTTGTTGGAAAGTATGCTTCTGGCTGCTCCAAGGGGCGGCACTTCCCTACAAGGAGTTTTGATGGAGGTGCGACCAAGGTTTTGGTTGGGCTGGGGAAGTAATTGAAATATTTGTTCATAGTAGTTTGCATGGTACCAAAGAAATCTTTGGTGTTGCAGAGGGTTTGTGTCGTTTCTTTTTGGAGTACGCATCAAAGACCAGCCCATCTTGTTTGACACTCTCCGGTGGTTGTTTAGAATCAGAATATTATATTTTACTTCGTGAACTAGTAGAGGCACTATATGGCCAGAATCATTCCTACACCMGGGAGAATGCAGCTAGTCGCCCCAAAGGGCGGCGCTTCACTCCAAAGAGTCTTTCCAAAAGCGCGACCAAGTGGGGACTCAAACCCCTAACCTCAGCACCTATTGCTGGGCTGCTACAATCTAAATCATAGTAGGACGAATCCTAATTGGTTGTTTCCTATGAGGCAAATGTGGAAAGTACTGAGTAATAGGGCAAGTGTTGGAGACAGAGGCAAGTGACGCTTGGTTGACACTGGCCAGAATTGTTTTCTCATAGACGCAGTGGTAATATGTGAGCATGGAAGTAGGCATAGTCAATAAGAAGGTGTCCATATCCTCTGGAAATAGGTGAGCATGTGATGGACAGGTCTGTGGTTTCAGTTCAAACAAAGTGCGGACTTTCACCACCACCCGCTGTCAAACGACCTCAGTTTAACCTCCTCCCCAGAATCCAGGATATCGTGAATCGAAGACAGAAATATGACCACTTCACTACTAAGATTGATCTGTTTTGAACCGCTTGCTTAGAGACACTAGAGGTGCTGTTGTTGCTTCCTCCGGATTAGTAACACAATCTGGGTCGATAGACACCGAAAGGGCTCGGTTCGAATAGCGCTCCAGATCCCGGGTTGTTGTCTAGCCGGGCCTTGCCATCGTGCTTGCGATCCCGATTCTTAGATCAAAGATCTTCGAATCGATGGGACCGCACGACATGCTTCGGTGGGTACTAGCAAAGGGAACGTGGGACAGAGCCGAAGTGGGTTGCCCCACTGGCTGCCACCAGGCCGGCCTCGCTACTAGCTCTGAGATTGTCGTGTCCCCCCGAGGAACAGCCGGTGCGCATCGCATGAGTGTCCCCGGGGGCCGGATGCTGCTCGATGTCGCTGCAGATCTCGACCAGAGCCGGCTGCGATTTTCTGCATGCTTCTTCTAGTACAGTACCGTACGTACTGAATCCTACGGTGAGTTATACGCGCAGTAGTTACACACGTACGTACTCGTAGTCTCGTATCGTAGATTACGGAATCGTACGTAGTCGTATTCGTGCACAGAAAGAAGCAAGACCCACATCACACCCAGTCACACTTTCGGTTCGACCCCCTACCGGTACGTACCGTGTTGGTACTCGTACTGCACTCTTCTCTGTTACCATTCTCCTTCGGAAATCAAACCACGAAGCACTCGGTGGGTATGGTACGTACTACTCGGCGTGTGGGTGATCCAAGATCCATCCAAACACCAAACGAAGGAGCTCCGGGGCCTGCCTCTCTGCCCCTTCTCGAGAAGCACATGCATACAGTGCTCGCACTCCCCGGAAGAACAAAACACGGCAATGGCAATGGCAATGGCAATGACAATGGCAATGGCGGAACCACACCACCCCGGTGCTTCCCGGAACGAGTCCCTCCGGGAGCTCGTCGAAGACTTTCACCGCTCCGTTCGGTACGAGCTGCCGGAGATCCTGGGAAAGATCCGGGCCGGGGCGGAGAACGGAAACGAAGGCCCGGCCCTCGGTCCCTCGAGGCACGCCTTTGGCCTCCGCCGGTGCCTCCGCAACGTACAGGAACTGCTGGCGAGGGAGGACCTCCAAAGCCTCCTCGACGACGAAAGGGAAAGGTGCAGCGAAACGCGCAGCGAAACGTGCAGCGACGATCAAGGAGGGGAGGGTCCCGGACTCCTCCTCGGCGTGTTTGTGGAGGACCTGGTGGAATTCGCGACCCTGGCGGACCTGGACGGCAACGGGAGGGGCAAGGACGGTTACAGCTGGCCCCCTTTTCCGGACGACCCTTGCATCCGCGAGCTGTACCGCTCCGTGGCACTCCTGGCCACCGAGAAGGTCCCCTCCACCGCGGCCCTCTGCGACGACCAGGTCGCCCGGCTCCTCTCGCGGGCCCTGGGCCTGATCGAGGGGGAGGTCATGGCCGGAAAAGCGAGGGACGAAGACAAAGACAAACACGAACACAAACACGACACCCGCCGTCGCCTCCTCGGAGGGATCCTGGCGTGGCTCCACGAAGAGGCCGACTCGGAGCGGCTCGAAAGGGTAGTGGTCTTCTGCTCGGACCACCCCCCGCACGAGGTGGCGGGTGCCCTGGAGGTCTCCCTCGGGTTCTGGGAGCTCGCATACACAAAGGGGGGCCCGGGCGTTTCCGGCAAGAGCCTTTCCGGTCTTTGGCTGTCCCTGCGCGTCCTCATCGATGGGCTCCTGGAGACCCTCCACCGACTGGTGGCAAGGGGTTTGTGTTGCGGGGGGCGAGGCGGAGGGCAAGGAAACGCTGGTGGTGTCGATGCCAGCCACTCTGGCAGTAGCAGTTTCGATGCCAGCAACCCCGGCAGTTGCGATTCCTGCGGCTCGCCTCATGCATCCTTGCGGGAATGGATGCTGCGCTCGGAACACGCATTGCCAAGGCCATCAACAATGCACGAAACCACGGAGAACAACCACAACCACAACCACAACCAGAAGAGCCAAACAGACCACCGAAGCCTGCTGCAACTCCTCGATCGGTACGCCCTGGAACTGATCGAAGACACCCTCGAGCTCCTCCGGCCGCAGCCCCCGATCGGCGGTTCTTGTTCGGAAACCACGCTCCGGAGGGACCGGATCCGGACGGCCCTCCAGCACGCCGCCATGGCCACCAACTTTTTTTCCATCGCGGGGGACCATTGCCACCCCTCGGCTTCCGGCGGAACGGTTGCCACCACGGCGGTCTTTGCCGGCCTCTCGAGAATCCTCTGGTTGTCTCTGGGCCGGTTCGTCCTCGAGGAGGTGGACTGTTGCGAACCCCCGAGAACGATTGCTTCCGGGGGAAGGGAAGACCGGGGCGAGGACGACGACGACGACGACGAAGACTTTCGTTTGGTCGCGACGGAGCTCCTCTTCCGGCTGACCAAGAACCAGGTGGAGCGATTGGTGTGCCAGGCTCCGGCGAACCCGAGTGGCCCTTGGCTTTCCGAGGAAGAATTCTCCATCCTGGCGGCGACCGTCCTCAAGGTGGTGGGCCGTTCCTTAGACCCCCGCCACCGGACCGAAGAAGGGCTCCAATGGGTCGCCGGCCTCCTGCAAGCGGGCAGAGGCAGAGGCAATGCCAATGCCAATGGCGGTGGTGCCTCCAAAAGCATCGCGGACCGGCTAAGGGCGGTCCTCCGGGCCGCCCTCCTCTGCAACGCGTACGTGCCGGACGCCCCGTCCCGGGAGGAGCAAAGGGGCCTCCGGTCGGGCCTCTCGGCCCTCCTGCGGGGGCCGGAGGAAGCATCCGTTCGCGGTCTTCCTCTCGAAGAAGACGATCCGTGGCGGGCCTTCTGGCCCGTCTGCCGGTGATGAAACGAACGCCCGGGCATGCGCGGGAAACCAAGGGAATCTCGGCGATTCCCCGATAAAGCTGTGCGGTGAAACGAAACCAAGCACACGGCGGTGCGATACGAAACGATGAGAAACAGAAGCGAAGCGACGGGCCAAACACCAATGAACAACAAGGAAAAAACAGCTGAACCGTCGGTTGGTTGCAAACCATGTGCAAGTACCAAAACACACAAGGAGAAAGGGTCCATTATGACTGCTTCGGATGCCTCAAAAATTTTACTGTAGTGCATTCTATACTGTATCATAGTCCATGGATCTCGAATCTATCTTCGATGGAAAGCACTTGTGTCCGTGCTTGCACCGAAGGCGGTCTTCACGTGCAGCCGTGCCTTCGTTCAAAGTCGTCCAGGTCGGAAAACCCCACCACCTCCTTGATCTCGTCCAGGGCCGACAGGGGCGTGGACCTTACGATCCCGCCGCTGCCCTCCCCGAGGAGCTCGGACACCGCCGACCGCAGGGCGGACACCGTCGCCTGCAGGCCCGCCACGCCGTAGAGCGCCATCTCGTAGCCCATCGCACCCACCTCGTCGGCCGAATACAGGCGCTGGTTTTCGGCTCCCGTCTGGAACTGCGCCAGGACCATGGGGGCGACTCCCCTCGCTTCCGATGCAGTGCTTCCGCCGGTCACCGCCCTCCGGAGGGCCAGGTACTCCTCCCCGCTCTGCAGGTTCTCCGCGTACACAACGTCCGCCCCCATGTCCTGGAAGGCCAGGCACCGCTCGATGGCCTCGTCCAGGCCGAGGGCCATGCGGCAGTCGGTCCGGGCCACGACAAAGATGGGGTTCCCGTCGGCCTCCAGGGCCTCGTCCCGGGCCGCCAGCGCCGCCCCGATCCGGTCGGTCGCCTCGGCCCTCGAGACGACGCCGATCCCTGAGCCGGCCAGGTAGGTGCACCGCTTCGGGAAGACCTGGTCCTCGATCGTGATCGCCGCCGCCCCGATCGAGGCCGTCCGGCGGATCGTCTCGCGCACGTTGGCGGCCCCGCCAAAGCCCGTGTCCCCGTCCACGAGGACCGGGGGCGGGGGAAGGCCCGTCGCGTGCGTGTTCGAGACCGCCCGGACGACGTTCCGGGCCGCGTCCTCGATCTCGGAGCGCGTGAGGATCGAGGCGTCCGGCCTGCCGAGCCGGGAGGCCGAAACCCCAAAGCCGCTCACAAAGAGGCCCACGCGTCCGCCGCAAGCAAGGAGGCCACTCTGCTGCTGTACGATGCGGGCGGACAGGGCGTCGTGGACGCCCACCACCCGGACCGCCTTCCGGTCCCTCCTCGCGTCTTCGATCAGGCCGTGCAAAAGATCCGGCGGGCTCTGGTGCTTCGGACGGGAAAGCCTCGCTCCCGATGCGGCGCAAGCCAGGAGGAGGACAACGGCCGCGAAAGGTGCCGGCACGATTCGAGCGGGCCTTCTTGGCTTGTGGATCGTCATCGTTGTTCGGTGGCACCAAGGCAACAACCGGCACCCACAGACACAAAATATAGTACGAAGTACTTCTACTTCGTAACAACAAGAATGGTGGTGTCGGGTGTCGGCAGGGACCAAAAGATATGGCAGTTCGAAGATTGGATTTTCGAAAGCCGTAGTTCGCGCGACTCGGGACTGGGAGTCACAATGGTGAGTGACCATCCGTACAACTAGTACGTATCGTACTGTACTAGTAGTGGGAGGAGTACTAGACCTGTGCTCTCTGTCAGAAATGTTTTTCTCTTTCTCCACAGTCTTTGCTGAATGAAGCCATGCACGTGGGTAGTAGTAGTAGTATAGCTAGTATTCTTGGTGTTTGTTAAAGTTAGTGATACTAGTACTAGTTAGTAGTAGGTTTTGAAGTTATTTTGACAATCAAACAGCAATAGCCTCCCCCTCAGTATTGTAGTACTAATTTGGACAAAAGATGGCTCATGTGGTCTTCCAGAAGAGTAGTAACAATGCGACATCTGATTACTACTACTGCTTCTTGTTAGCAGGTGGGATGGGCTCGTCCTCCACCTCAACTTGGAATTCAACCCTCGCTCGCAGGGCATCTCTTTTCACATCATCTGCATCTCCAATGAACCAAACATAGGCCGCAAAAGACATGAGTTCCCTTGCTCGGACAATTCTATCGCCAACCTTGCGCAGCATGCTGTGGGCATGGTGCGTGGGAAGGCGTTCGAAGTCGTCGCCCTCCATCGCCGTGAGGACGCCACTCTTGTCGGATGCAATGTATGCCTGGATTGCCTTTTTCGCGGGACGGAAGGACGGGGGCATCCGGACGGGGAAGCCACAGTGGGCATCGACCATTGCATCGAACGGGTGCCACCCGGGGATGGTCGCTTCGGCCATGATGGCCTTGCGGCCTCCGGCCAATCTGCCGGCCACCTCGATCATGACGGGGTCAACCCACGCTTTCTTTCTCTCGTCGAACTTCACCTTCAGCTCACAGTGGGCCATTCCGTACTTGATCCCAACCGCACGGCACACTCCTTCGGCATACTTTACGAGCGAGGCGTAGGCTTTGTCATTGGAATCCATCATTTCCTGGTAAGTATTCACCATTGTCTGGGATATGCGAGCACAAAGTAATGAGATGTTAGAGTACCTGTGTCAATCGGAAATTCAATAGGAGAAAAAAGAATTTTTTGCCGAACACTTACCCCATCGGTGTTGACTTTGTGATACATCCAAATGTCGGTTACTTGAACGCCACGAGGTGTGGTAGGGCTGGCTACTAAGTTTACGGCAAATTCTTCGCCTCCAAGGAATTCTTCGAGCAGAGCATACTGGGTCTTTCTTCCGTCAGGGCCTACATTCCTGACAATCTTCGACGCAGCTGCGACTGCTTCCTCTTCGGTGTTACAAATAAAGACATCCTGAGTACCCATCCCCCTGGGAGTCTTGACTACGACAGGGTATTCCAATTCCAGTCCCTCTACAGCAGCAACAACATCTCTGCCATCTCCTTGAGTTAGGCGAGCGTACTTGGCCACCCTCAAGCCTGCGTTGGCAACCGCCACCTTCATCAAACCTTTGTCGCGCCGAGCACTGGCAAGGCCCAAGTCGTTCACAACAGCGAGTCCCAGCAGGGCCCCAAGGATGTCCGAAAAATCCACAGCCGCCTCGCGGCAGGGGAGAACGCCCAGAAATCGTAGGTTTTGCTGAGACTCAATGGTCTTCAGGTTGGATGCACACTCGACGATATCAAACTTGGTCCCCATGGGTGGCTCATAGACCTGACGAATCCCCGCCTCAAGGAGTGCTTCCGCCGTCGGATAATAAGAAACATGCTTGGTGCCATCGTTCGGTTTGGGAAGAACGGCCATGACCATTAGACCACGCCTTTTACTGGCTTCAATCAAATGGATGCAGTCCGGAATACGACTGGATGTTTTTGGCATGGCGAAAGGTGTCGACACAGAAAAAAATTAGGGACATGGATTACAACAATTATTGCAGTGCTACCACACCATTATTTACTCACGGATCGATAAGCACAATGGCATTTTGGAGGATGTTATCGGGGGGCTCAAATTGTAGAGGATCCTTAACAATTTCAGTCGCCACGATGCGATGATGCTCAATTTCTTCTCCATCGTTGGTGAATGGGTCCTCCCCGAGAGTTGCAAGAGTGGGTTGCTTGGTAATGTTTTTCGGATTGCGAAACTCGTCGCCGATGAGGGCTTCGTGGTGATTTGCAAGGTCAACCGACGCTTCCTCGTGTGATAAATCATTATCGCTCGGGTTGTTCGGTGCCAAATGAATGCCGCACGGATCATCGCGAAACAGGTTAGAAGTGGCGTCTTCGACGACGGCTTGGGGGGCGAGGACTGCTTCGGCGAGACGCTGGTTGCGACCCACATCGTTGTTGAAAGGGGTTTTTGATGGAAACAAAGTCATGGTTTGCAGGAGGATTTAGTGAGAAATCTTGCGAGATGAATCCGCAGAATATTTTTTTATGGTAATGCGGCAGCGTGCTTGCACGGATTTGTGATCTGCGGCACAAGTGCGAGCAATCACCCCGCATTTCTATGCAGCTCATGACTTCGACCATGGAAAATTAAAACCGTTCAAAATGCATACTGAAAGACGTAAATCCAACAATACTAGTTGGAGTAGAAGCGTACCGGTAGAAGTGGTACTAGGCAATGAAGTAAAGAGAAAAGTTTCAAGTCGTGGAGGAAGCACTTCGCTAAGTGATCAAGTCAGCATGAAGGATTTTGCATTGCTCTCATGTCTAAGGCTCGGCCCGGGCAAGATTCATTTGTTCAATGGCAACGTCGTGTCGCAGAATATTTCGGAATTTGGAATCAGTTTTGCTTCATTGTTTGATTAGTGAGTTGTTTTGGATGCGGGAATAATTTTCATTGGCAATCGAACAGATCGATCGATTACAGTTTTTTTTTCTCAGATTCCAAATCCCATTTTGTGATGATGTGTTTGTTTATGGATACGACTTACGATTACCAGTACGAATAACCTAAAAACAAACGTTACGTACGGTAGTAACGTATTTTAGTACAGTACGTAGGTACTCCAGTGATAGCGTGCACGTGCGGATTACTTTCGGAGGAAGATTTTGAACAATCTATCTACCTTACCGTACCGTACGAACGATACCTAGTAGAAAGGATATATCATCGTACATACCAAGTACTACCGTATCTATGGGTTAGTGAGATAGGAATTCGCGCGCGTGGGGAGAGAAAAAGTAAACAACAACAACATACCGTTAAACCGTTATCATCGTTGCACACCTGTTCGAGCCGGCAGTTTCAGATTTAATGGGAAACCCTTTCGATAACGGTGTCAACAAACTTTGTGAATATCATTAATATCATTAACGCATTCTGCCTTGATCCGAGGGAAGAAAGAAGTTTAGTGTACACACGCCTATCGTTTTGCACAACCATCGATAAAGTCAGAGCATTTGTAATTAAGGGTGCTTTCGATCATTCGTATCGACATTCTAGCATATATTGTCGTCGTCAATCGTCAAGAAAACACCTTCAACCCATTGAAGGAAGTCGAATAGATCATTGAGAAAAGATTGTTATCGTCTCGTACATTAAAAACATGTTTCGTTGGGCAAGCACGAGAGCGAACGAAGATGGGCAAAACATGGAACCCACGTTCCGTGTCCAATCCAAGCATCCAGCTCAGAGTAAAAAAACAGCACCCTCTCCATTGGGTGTCAACATTAACCACACGAATCAAAATGGAATGTTGAGGCCTCCACAGACCATAACTTATGTTTCTCCCACCTCTGCTGAAGATAGAAATGGCAATTACTTCGAGACACGTGATGTTCAACCACAGATGCAAGAGTCAAGTGCAAGATATGTGTCAATGGATGACGAAAGAGAGGCACCAGCAACGAGTTACCAAGATATTTCAAACCAGTCTTTAGCTCGGTTGGAAAAGCTTGATCCATCTCACCCTATGGTTTCGGGTCGTAGCCGTACATCTCAACGTGCGCCAGCTTTGGATTTAAAGCACAATGATGACTCCTTCCAAATTGTTGCAAGCTTGATCGTGGACCGATTCGAAGACCATTTGTCAAATAGAGAAACCAAGAGTATCCGCATTACTGCTGGAGACACGTATCATATGGAACGAGTTGTTCCTGACAAAAAACAATTCATCGATGCTGTCAAGTACCGAATTCAGAATTGTCCAGAAAATTCTTCCAAACAAATTCACAAAGTAACACGCCAGTGCCATGTTTTGGGTCTCGACCGCAAGGGAGAGAGTAATCTTCTCTTTGCTCCTATCGGATCGCATTTTGAGCTTACTGTGAGTCTAGTTACCGTATCCATCGAGGGATAATCCTCTATCTTCTTGCTCGTGAGAAATCGTAGTCATGTACTGCTATAATGTGTTGTCTCATCCTTCTTTTCTTCTAAATTTATGTCCTGAAAGAAAATCAATGAGGAAGAAATGCAAGATCGGACACTCGACAGAGAGGCTGTTGACAAAGCCAAGCCACTCACTCCAGAGGATCTAGCCCGGGAACAAATAACTACAGAACTCAAGGAGGCTAGAAATTTGTTAGCGGAGTCCGTTACACCAGAAGCGGCAGAGTTTTGGACAAATCAAGTGGTAGACCTCCAAAAAAAACTACGTGCGCTTGACGGAAATGGAGCGGAGTCGAGTTTTCCCACAAATAAAAATGATTACGGCAGTTATTTCAAGTCCCAGGAAGGCATTCTATCAAATTTATGGCAGACTCTTGGATATGCCCCATCAAAACAGGAGAAAGATATTGAACTCACTACGTCACCAGTGTCGTCACCAGTGCCATCTCCAGTACCATCGGAAGACGTGTCAGCAGAGGAAAAACCGGAAGAAAACGAAAAACCGATTGTCGATGTTGTTGCTCCAGCTGATCTACCAGGAGGATATCAATTTGAAGCAGAATTGAACGGCAGACGCTTCATCGCGACTGTGCCTGTTGGTGGAGTCCAAAAAGGAAAAACGTTCTATTGCTACATGGAAGAAACCAATGGTACTGATGCATTGTACGGAAGATGGAGAGATGAACTTACTGACATATACAAGTATGGGCCAAAACACCCTATGACCTTGGTTTCCATCGTTTGTCCTCTCCTAGCCCTTTCGAAAGTTATGGAAAAAGTTGGTCTAGATATCACGGGGCAAAAAGCTCCCAGAACTGTCTCACAGACTGGTCTTTGGTCCCCTCGTGGAATGGCACTAAGCATGCTGTCTCTCTGGGCAGGTTTGAATGTCACCATTCTTTTTGGCTTTGAACTGAAACTCCACGCTTATCTGGCACTTTCCGCAGCTGATTTCTGTTCTATCATTCTTGTAAACCTTTCAATGTTGGCATTCACAATCTATGCCACCGTCAATACAAGAAACTACATCGTACAAAAGTTTGAAATCCCGGCTGGTAAATATGGCAGCCTAGCAGAAACTATTTTGTCGGCTGTATTTTTCCCGTTGTCTATAGCACAGATGGGAAGGCATACAGTTTGCTATGACAGCAACGAAGGCGTATGGTGCGATCCAACTAGGATCTTTAGACAAGACAGCAATGAAGGTCCATGGTGCGATCCGTCAGGATATCTCAGACACGACATCATGGAAGGCGCATCCTGTGACCCGACTAGCATTCTCAGACAGGAGAGCACCGAAGGTGCAATCTGTGATCCAAGTAGAATCCTCAAACACGAAGAGCCTTGAATGTTTGGATCACAAGTAGTCTTAACATGTGGCGAAAAAATTCGCTGCTTTTATTGTGTTGAAACCAATTCTACGCGCAGGGTTGTGGAAATCTGCGTCCGTTAATATGTGCCCTACCTACAGTTCATTAATTTATTTAACAAACTCCATGTTCAAGTGAATGATTTATTTCATGATGATTCAATATGAAGTTGCTCAGCAATATTATCCATTCGTAAATAGCAAGTAGCAACAAACACATAATGCAGACACATACTGGTGGCAAGCCAAGCAGCAGTAGGGCAACCAGATAGCCAATAGCAAAGGCTCTGCCAGTAGTTGTTGGTAGAGATCAGTAGCCAACGCCTGTTGGCACAATTAGTGATAGGAGGTGTTCTATGGTCTGATCTTCCTGCACACCGTGTTTCACAAGATTGGGGTATTGCTGCAAAAGCAACGTAGCTGGTTTGGGGAGAAGGCCGTTGCAACTCTTAGTGACAACTACTAGTTGCCCAATTTGCTGCTGACCGGTGAAAAGACTATACCACGCATCATTATAGAGAGGACTGTGTGCAACCAGGGAATTTACTACTTGAGATTGGCACGATATCCAGGAATCGTAGTGCATGCATAATGGAGAGATTGACTGTAATATCTAGTGTCCGGGGCGCCCTTAATATAGAGTATAGCAGGACAAGCTGGGAGAGCAGCGACAATTGGAGTGTATTTTTGTTGTCGATGACCATTTAATGGAAAGCTCTAGTTTCTATAGTACTTTATGATGTTAGCAGTCTACCGTATGTTCAATCGCAATGAATTGATTGTGATTGATCGATTGAGATAATTTACAGGTGCTAGTTTCCCAAGGAACCAATGTGGCTGGCCGACTGGTTTGCATCTGCTGCCCGATCAACAAACATTCTCCCCGTGTTTTGTGTGTGCAAGCGGCGGCTGCCAGTCAGCTGCCGCTGTTCGCGTTCCATTCCACCGAAACCTTGTGAATCGGACTCGTGGGAGGCATGTAGCACAGCGCCGACGACGATGAAGACGATGTTCCATCGAGCTCGAGGGACCGAACCGGTCGGGTCCAGACGAGCTGTGTTTTCTTCTTCGACGACCCCCCAATGCTGCCACCAAAGTCGAAGTGGAACTTTGGAAGGACCGCCTTGATCGGAAATGGTTTTGTTTGCGGCGAAGGCGGGGTGACCGGCCGTTCGCTGCCCTGCGGTTTGCCGTTCTCTGCGAAAAACCAGCGCCGCCGCCGCTTGAGGGGCTGGAAAATGTTGCTGCCGGTGGTCGAGGTGCTGTCGCAGCTGTCGCTCCGAGAAATGTCCCCGTAGTGGTTCTTCTTGTACCGAAAGGAGGTCTGCATCGGGGACATGCGCAGGTTTTTGGGGGTCTTTGGCTGGTGTTGTCTTCGGTATTCGCGGTCGTTGTCGCTTCGCTGCTGTTCTATCATGGCTTCGGCGTCTCGTTCCGCCCTACCCGGGGTTGCCGCCGAGGACGCCAGCTCTTCTCTCCACATGGTTTTGAGCGCCGCATCAAACACCGACCTGGTTTGGTGTACGATTTCCGAAACGGCGTCGTCGTCCATAGCGTTTCTTTCGCCATCGAAGGAGTCGGTGTCGGCTCTCACTAGGGTTGCGTGCTTGGAGTCGAGGGCCTCGATAAAGGCCCGCTTGTCCTCCGCCGTGCAAAGGACGGCATCAATCGCCTCCCTCTCGCTCGCACCCTCAACCTCGTACCTGTGCAGCATCGTTCGGGCTACCGTCGCAAAGGCCTGGTCGCTCTCGAACTTGTTCGAGGTGACCACCGCCATGAGGTCGCTGTCGGAGCAGCGCCTCCCGTAGAGGGACAGGCTCGCGCGTCTCCTGGCGTTGTCGTCGCGACGCCCGGTAGTACCCGTGGTCGGCGCAGTCCCCGCCACGCGTTCCCCCGCACCGCCACCCTCGGTCTTGGCGTCGCGGCGGTGACAACAGAAATCTCGGTCGTCGTCGTCGTCGTCGTCGCTAACGACGGAGCTGGCGCGATTCCGTCTCCCCACCACAACTAAATTCTTGAGTGCATTCATCGTTGTTGTTGTTGCTGCTGTTGTTGTTGTTGTTGTTGTTGCTTGGTTGGTTGATGAAATAGTTCTTACTGGTGGGACCAGACGACCAACTATACGACAATTTCTGGTGATGGAATGTTCGATCTACGGTGGAAATTGTGAAGCCCGAGTGGAATCGTCCGGAGATAAAATTTTGTTTTTTTAGGCGTTTTCTGCGATCAATGCTCAAAATGTGGCGAGAAGGTGTCAAGCCGTCGCTCAAAAAGTACGGGTTTAGCGAGGCGCCGCGCAGCTCCACCGATTGGATTGATTCGATTCGGTCACGAATAACAAACAAATACAGGAGAGGGACCGAAGGGACCATTTTTTTAATATTTTAGCGCGATCCGCGCACTTTTAACGGTATTTATGTAAAAATAACCATCTTTTGATTGGGTGCGAGTAAGATTGAATACAGTTCATTTGATATGCCTCTTTGAGATTCGTCACTATGCCTTTGGGGGAGGTCACTATTTSGAAAAATTCTTTTCAACTCGCCGACAATTAAATTTATTTAATCAATTAATTAATTTTTATTAATTGATTAATAAAAGATTAATTAAAATTTAATTAATCTTTTATTAATCAATTAATAAAAATTAATTAATTGAATAATTTAATTTAATTAATTATTCCTCTCTACGAGTGGTAGTACCAAATGCTACACGCATGCCATTTTTATTAATCGATTAATTAAATTTAATTAATCGATTAATTAAATTTAATTAACTGATTAATTAAATTTAATTAAGCATTTAATAAAAATTTTATTAATTGCATAATTAAATTTAATTATTCAATCAATTAAATTTAATTAATGGATTAATAAAAATGACTTCACCGGTGTTCAAAACTTTTATTCGGGATTCGCCCCTTTAAGTATATTAACTATGATCCAATCACAGAATGACTCACAGGGAACACTAGCCGTAGTGTAGACTTGTTTGATTTATTTAAGTCCACAAAGTGGCGAACAATACATTATTGTGCGCGCGGCGCGCAAAAAATAGTAAAAGAACGGTCCCTTCGGTACCTCTCCAGTACGTACTGTGACAAATACAGTACAGTACCATTTGTACGGTACGGTAGGTACGAGTACGTACTGTAACAAATTATGAGGGCCAGACCCTTGCGTTGCGTTCGGGGGTCCAACAAATCTCCTTATCTACCCCTAAATATGTTTCACCTAGAATTGTCTCCTATCGAATATCCTTTCGAAAGGCATCGATCGGCATCGATCGTGTTGTGCTGTGCAGTACTTACCGGCCGGTACATCAGCTACGATTGTACTCGTAACAAGCGACCGTTGCCGGTACGTAATCTGTACCCTACCTGTACTCCTACGATGCAACACAAAAACCCTGTTTGAAAAAAGTGATCTTGGTTGACTTTCAACTGCATTTCACGACAACAACTGCTGCTACCGTGCGCATCTGTGAATCACCATCGTCGGTTCCACAACAACGTGATTGGACGGTTTCCCAAACAGAACGCATCGATACACCGCCCGATAGATCGACCAGGAGATCGTTGAATCGAATCGAACAAAGCTAAACCGCACCGTACCCCACCACACCGAACCATGAGCGACGAGCAAGCCAACAACAACGACGGAGCGGCGGAAGCAGACGCGAACGCCGACGCCCCGGCACCGGCCGCCCCGGCCCCTCCCGCGGAGGAAACCCAGCAGCAACGGGAGCAGACCGAGCGGGAGCAGGTCCTGGACGACTACCGCGCGAAGATCCGGGAGCACCGCGAGGTGGAGGCCCGTCTCAAGCGCATGAGAGAGGACGTGAAGGGCCTCGGGAAGCGCTACCAGAAGACGGAGGACGACCTGAGCGCCCTCCAGAGCGTCGGCCAGATCATCGGGGACGTCCTGAAGCGGCTGGACAACGAGCGGTTCATCGTCAAGGCCTCAAGCGGTCCCCGGTACGTGGTGGGCTGCCGAACGCGCCTGAGCCACGGCAAGCTGAAACCGGGAACCCGCGTCGCCCTCGACATGACGACGCTGACGATCATGAGGGTCCTGCCGCGGGAGGTCGATCCAACGGTCTTTCACATGCAGGCCTCCGAGGAAGACGGGGGCGTCTCCTTTGCGGACATTGGTGGATTGAACGAACAAATCAGAGAACTCAGGGAGGTCATCGAACTGCCCTTGACGAATCCCGAACTCTTCACGAGAGTTGGAATCAAGGTACGCCACAAGCAAGGAAGGCACTGGAACGGGAGGGGATAGACTGGCTTTGTTTCTCGTTTTTCAATACCTGCGTCTCTTTCGGCGATGGAACGGAATGCAGCGTGTTTGTTGCGTTAAGTGCAGTGCAGTGCGTCTTGTTGCGGACCCATCTTTCTGATCCATTGTTTTCCATTCGTCACATTGCATTTTATGTCGAAACAGGCACCAAAGGGAGTTCTTCTGTATGGACCTCCCGGGACGGGTAAAACCTTGCTGGCGCGTGCACTGGCCAGTAACATCAATGCCACATTCCTAAAGGTCGTGGCGTCGGCCATTGTAGATAAGTATATCGGAGAATCGGCGCGTGTGATTCGAGAAATGTTCGGCTTTGCCAAAGACCACAGCCCCTGTGTGATTTTTATGGATGAAATCGACGCCATTGGAGGGAGTCGTTTCTCGGAGGGAACCAGTGCAGATCGCGAGATTCAGCGAACACTGCTGGAGCTTTTGAACCAAATGGACGGATTCGATGATACCGGAGGCCAAGTTAAAATGGTCATGGCCACCAATCGTCCCGATATTCTGGACCCCGCCCTCCTGCGTCCCGGTCGGCTCGACCGCAAGATCGAGATTCCGGAACCAAACGAAACGCAGCGCCTGGAAATCCTCAAGATTCACGCGGGCAACATTACCAAACGCGGGGACATCGACTTTGAAAGCGTTGTCAAGCTGGCCGACGGTCTGAACGGGGCCGACATGAGAAACGTGTGCACGGAGGCCGGTCTCTTTGCCATTCGGTCGGATCGGGACTACGTGCTGGAGGAGGACTTTATGAAGGCCGCGCGGAAGATTCTCGAAAACAAGAAACTGGAATCGAAACTGGACTACAGCAAGGTCTAGAAAGCCGTCTGTGGTTGCCGGCAAAATCCAGACCCTTCTACACTATAATTACAACAGAGAGGATAAAATAATCAGAATTTGCAATATGGATGCATCTTTTTAGCAACAGTAGGAATAGATCGACACATTCATTCATTCTGCTAGTACTAGTAAGATTCAATCTCGTTGCACGTTTGGGCAACTACAGGGAGGAGGATGGACGAAATAAGCGGAGGCACCAGTCAGGGTACTTGTGAGCACTGAATCAACAACGACTAGTAGTGCTACTGTGGTGGACAGCGACAAGTGACCAAGGAAGCATCTCGCCAACCAATGGCGGTCTGTGATGCAATCTTCTTTCTTTACCCTGCTTCACTAATACTACTAGTAGTTCAGAATCAGCCTGTGACAGCATTCTTTTTTTCGTACCCACACGGTATGGTACGATACTCGTACCTCCATTACTAACAGCACTTTCGTACTCGTGACCCAAGCTCGAATCGAGGATGGTTTGGAAGAGGTACTATCTTAGTCCCTAATTGAATTGAAACCCATCCCTGATTTTTTTGCATTTCCCACGAACCAGAGAGCAGCGGAGCACCGTACAACTTTCACTCGTTTCGTGTCTGCCCTCAAAACAAAACGGGTCTCGAGCAGAGTACGTACCGTACGGTACCGTGCGAGGAACGAAACAGCATACCGCACAGCTTTAAGTCTGCTGGAGACGACAGGGTTGCTCTCGATTCTCGCAAACCAAACGAAATAGTTCCAAAGATTCAGAAGACGATCCGACAGCTCTAAGGTTTCGTGGACGAGAAACGACACACCACTCAGCAATGGCGGAAAAGGAAGCCGGGTTCAAGCGACACCTCGAAAATGCGGGTGCTACGCTCTACATCCCTCCCGCCAAGCGCCGGCAGATGCTCCGGGAGAAGGAAGAGGCGGAGCAAAAGAAACTAGAAGCGGAGCAGCAAACAAAAGCCGGCACGGACGGAGAAGGAAAAGGGGGCGAGCCGGGAGACGATGCGGGCGCCTCCTCTCCTGCGAAGGACGCCGCCGTGGTGGTCCCCGTGGGGAATGCGGAGACCAACGTCGGGGAGCAACGGGAATCGTGGCAGGAGCAGCGGAAGGTCATCAACGGGACGATCAACCGACTGAACGCCGGAACGATCAAGCCCCTGATCCAGGACCTCTTTCAAAAGGTCAATTTGGTGCGGTTGCGCGGGCACCTCTGCAAGTCCGTCCTGTCGGCTGCCGTATCGAGTCCGAAATATTCCGATGTCTACGCCGCCATCATCGCCGTTGTGAACTCCAAGCTCCCCGAGGTGGGCGAGCTCATGGTCAAGCGCACGATACTGGCCTTCCGGCGGTACTACAAACAACGCGACAAGGCTTCCTGTCAGGCGGTTTGCGTCTTTATCGTTCATTTATTTCACCAGGGGGTGGTCCACGAACTCATCGTCCTGCAGATGCTGAGTGTCTTGCTGGACGGGGCGAGGCCCACGGACGATTCGGTGGAGGTGGCCGTCCACGTCTTGCAAATTGCGGGGCAGGCCCTGCTCGAGGTCAGTTCTCCCGGGGTCCGGGCCTGCACGGAACGTCTGCGATCCCTGCTGCACGAGGGCCACCTGAACCACCGGGTGGAATACCGCGTCGAGGAACTCCTCAAGGCGCGAAAGAACGGCTTCAAGGACTTTCCGTCTCTCGCAGAAGAACTGGATCTGGTGGAACAGGACGACCAGATCACCTTCGACACGTCTCTGGACGACGAAGACATCCAGAAGGAAGAAGAACTCGATCGGTTTTCCTTCGATCCCGAGTACGAGGAACACGAGGCGGAATGGAAGGCCATTCGTGCGGAAATCCTGGGAGAGGGGGACAGCAGCGACGACAGTGACAGCGATGACGGCGACGACACCACCGACGACTCGTCCGAGGACGACAGCGACGAAGAGGCATCCGCCTCGGGAGAGAATGCGTTGGCGGTGGTTCCGGGCGGTGGTGGCGATGCGGCCGCCAAGCAGGTCGCGGTGGTGGAAGACCTGACCGAGGCGGACCTCGTCAACCTGCGGCGAACCATATACCTGACGATCATGTCGAGTGCGACCTTTGAGGAGTGTGCCCACAAGCTGGCTCGGATCGACGTCCCTCCGGGCCGGGAATCGGAGCTCATCAATATGTTGATCGAGTGTTGTTCCCAGGAACGCACGTTTTTGCGGTACTACGGGCTGATCGCCTCCCGTTTTTGCCTGCTGGACGAGCGGTGGAAGACCGCGTTCATGGAAAGCTTTGCAGAGCAATACAATACGATCCACCGGCTGGAGACGAACAAGCTGCGAAACGTTGCAAAGCTGTTCTCGCACCTCTTGCACACGGATTCCATGCCCTGGAGCGTGATGAGTGTCATCCACCTGAACGAAGACGAGACGACCTCGTCGTCCCGAATTTTTATCAAGATTGTCATACAAGAAATGGCAGAGGCCATGGGGATTGCCAAGCTGAAGCAGCGTTTCGAAACACAGGACGAAGAGCAGAAGCTGTGGTTCGCTGGGATGTTCCCCAAGGACAACGTCCGGAACACTCGATACGCAATCAACTTTTTCACTTCCATCGGCCTGGGTCCGTTGACCGACGACCTGCGCGAATTTCTCAAGAACGCCCCCAAGCTTATCCTGGCCCAGGCAAAAGCAGCAGCCCTGGCCAAGAAACAAGAGCTGTCCGGAGACGAATCTTCCTCGGTATCGTCAACGTCTTCTTCTTCGTCGTCGTCGTCGTCGTCATCCTATTCGACGTCAACCTATTCCTCCTACACGAGCTCGGATTCCTCCTCGGACAGTTCGTTTTCGTCGAGCGACTATTCCAGGGGACGACGCCGGGGCCGCTCCTCCGGTCGGGGACGAAGCAACCGGGGTAGGAAACGAAGGGAGTACAGCAGCGATTCTTATGATTCGTCGTACTCGTCGTCCTCCGGCTCGAGCGATGAATCGCGATCGAGGGATCGGAAGAGGAAAAACGGGGGCCGGCGCTCGAGCCGGCGTTCTCGGTCTCGGTCGCCCCCCAGGGTCATCACGAGCGTCAAGAGCAGCGATGATTCCAAACACCGCCGCGGTGGATCGGCCAACCGATCTAGGTCGCGGTCGTCGTCGTCGAGGAGTACTACCAGGAACGATCGGAGGCGTTCCGGCAAGGACAGGCGCAGCAGGAGCAGGAGTCGAAGCCGTGAGCGGTCGCGGTCGCCCCCAAAGGTCATCACTTCCACGAACGAAAAAAAGGATCGCGACCGCCGGAGGTCCCGGAGTCGTTCGGTGAGCAGATCGCCACCTAGGGGCAGAAGGAAGGCGAGCAGCGGCAGCAGACGCAGAAGTCGAAGTGCTAGTAGAAGCAGAAGCAGAAGCAGATCGCCCCCCAAGGCAATCTCTTCAAAGAAGGAGGACCCGCGCAGCAATCGCAGATCCGCTAGTCGATCCCCTTCGTTGTCGCGGAGCAGGAGCAGATCGCCACCGAGGAATGACAGACGAACGGAGACCGGAAACCGCGCCAGGAACAAGAATCGGGGGAGGCGCAGATCTTCCAGCAGGTCGTCGTCGCGTAGCAGGAGTAGAAGTAGGAGCAGAAGCAGAAGCAGCGATAGGAGCCGGAAAAAGAATCGCCGGCGTCCACCCACTAGGCGCGAAAAAGGGGATCGTCGGGGATCTCCGAGCAGGAGCCGCAGCAGGTCGCGGTCGAGGTCGCCAGCCCGAAAGACCGATTCGAGGGCAAAGAAGAATCGAGATCGCAACAAGCGCAGCAGCAGCCGTTCGCCGTCTCGGTGATGGCAGCTGCAACTCTTGGATAGGGAGACCAATTCTAGTTGTATCACACGTAGAACCCCGTAGCGAATGTCTAACATTGAATTTGAACATAGCCTCACGCTGAATAGATGTCTATTGCAACCTTCGTTCTAGAATGGTCCCGGGTGTTACAACCAAGCAAAAGCTACTACAAGGTTTGCGAGAGGAGATTGTCATTGAGGAAGACTAAAACACGCACACCGCGTGATGAACAAAAGGCAATACGAGTAAAATACAGATTTCTGTGGCACAAAGGACGTTGCCAGTATTCGTAGTGTAGAACGTAGGCATTCTATGTTTATTTTCTTTCAACGACTCCTCGCTTCGCCCGTAGACAGACAACGAGGACGAGGAACGAAGGTATGAACAGAACAGAACAAAACAGAACAGAACAGAACAGAACAGTACTGCGTACGGTACGATCCTAGGAACAAGGCCCGGCCCAAAATACGCACGGGGTGTTGTGGAATGCTGGTGGCAGTGTTGATTTGATGGCGATTGCGGTTTGTTCTAGATTGTGTAAAAGGCGAGTTCCTTCTCGCGGTTGTTGACGGCTTTCTTGTAGGCCGCGTCGAAATCCTTGGGCAGGACCACGTACCGGTTTTCCCGGACGGCCTGCAGACCGGCCTCGGCGCAGATGGACGAGATGTCGGCGGAGGAGACCTTCTCGCTCCGGTTGACGTAGTCCTCCAGATCGAGCTCGTCCGACAGGTTCATCTTGGCCGTGGCGGCCTGGAAGACCATGCGTTTTTGCCGCCGATCGGGGTTGGGGAACTCGATCTTTCGGTCCAGCCGTCCCGGCCGCAGGAGGGCGGGATCCAGGGTGTCGGCGCGGTTCGTGGCCATGATGACCTTGATGTTTGTGGTCTGGTCGAAACCGTCCATCTGGTTGAGGAGCTCGAGGAGGATGCGCTGGACCTCCCTGTCGGCCCCCGTCTGGGCGTCGAATCGCTTCGTGGCGATCGCGTCGACCTCGTCGATAAAGACGATGCAGGGGCTGTTCTCCCGCGCCAGGCGAAAGACGTCCCGGACCATCCGGGGTCCCTCTCCCAGGTATTTTTGCACAAACTCCGACCCCACCATGCTGATAAAGGTGGCCTTGGTGGCACCCGCCACCGCCTTGGCCATCATCGTTTTTCCGGTTCCCGGGGGCCCGTAGAGCAACACCCCGCGGGGCGGGTCGATTCCGATCTGCTGGTAGAGGTGGTGCTGGATAAGAGGGAGCTCGATGGCCTCGCGGACCTCCTGCTTCTGCATGTCGAGGCCTCCGATGTCCTTGTAGGTGACGTTCGGCTTTTCCGTCATGAGCTTGACGGTTGAATCGCTCTCCGGGGGCAAAATGTCTACGAGGGAGTGCGAGTGGCGGTGGAGCGCAATGCTCGTGTTGGGTTTGAGGAGTTCCCGGTCCAGCGTGCTGAGGATCCGAACGTAGTAGTTGGACCCGGCGGTGCTGGAGACGATCCCGTAGTTGGCGTCGATCATCTCGTTGAACTGGCCAATCACCAACGGAACGGATTGGATCCGGCGGATTTCCTCCTTGGCGCGGAGGAGTTCTCGCTGCAGGTGGCGCATCTCGTCCTTTAGGTATTCCTCCTGGAGTTCCACGAATTCGAGCTGCATCTCGAGCCCCTTGACCTCCTGGTAAAGGTCGAGTTCGTCCTCTTCCTTGGGTGCCGGCAGGGTTGCCGCCTTGGTGCTCGCCGGAGACGCCATTGGGATCTGTGCACGAAAGGCAAGCAAAAACGCCAAAACGCATCGATCGAGTGCACGCGCACGAAACAAGGGGTGGGGACACGCGGTGAGACGCGGAACACAAGTCGTCGAGCCTCCGCTCCATCGCCGAGATCTCTTTCGGGCTTACCTCGGACGAAGATGCGACTGCCGTTGCCATCCTTGTCGTGTTTCTTGTTTCTGGCTTGTTGCGGTAGTGAACAGCAGACCCTTTTGCTAGTGCTGCTTCTGGTGTGTCTCGGGGGGAATGTTTGGTTGGATTGGAACGGAACGGAACGGAACGGAACGGAACGGAACGAAACTTAACTTGGTGGGTGTGGTTGTCCTAGGTACGGCTATCTGCCATAGTCGTGCATCAACAAACAGCAATCCCGGTCCGATTCTTTTTTTTTTCGTTGCCGAATCGCAACTCGTAACGGCACGCCAAGCTACGTACCGGTACGAGTGCTCGCAAGATGAGACTTCCAACGCGTATCGTACTCGTAAACGTAGTTTCTACGTGTTGTTTTGGGTGAGTCGAGTCGAGTTGAGTCGAACAGAAAGGAAAGGAAGCTTGTCGAAACCACGAGGGATTGATGGAGCTCCAATCGCTCTTAATTATTACGTTTCATATCTACAATAAGTATAGTAACTATGTAGCGGTACCGTGTACCGTAGGTAAAGTTATTTTTTGTTGCTTTCATAATACGGTACGTACCGTACAGTACGTCGTAGACTTAGTACGAGTACTACCCAGACTCATCCAATCAAAAGACATCCAATCACAGCACCGGAAAAAGATTCATGCCCCGAAACGGCTTTTCGAAGCGCATCAAGATAAAAAAAGAGCAAGAATGATACGTAAAGTACTACGTACGAGTGCAGTGCGTACAAGGCCGTTTGCGTACGGTAATAGTTAATAGTACCGTAGGATGCATACAGTACGGTAGTACTGTACGCTGATCTTTGCAATCCTAGAAATTCTGATCGGCGCGGCATCACCCATGGCTCTCTCGAAGGAAAACGAAAGCCAAAGTCTAAGGGATTCGATCGAGTCGTCGTCCTTGTTGAGTATCGTACCAAGTACCGTACGATACGGCAAAGAAAAAAGCATCACACCAAACAATCAATATTTCTTTTGGACGGCCGCACGATTCCGATCCGCAACAAACCACAACGACTCGCTGTCTGCGTTTGTTTCCTAGAATCTTGCGGAGAACGAACAAACGAAACCCTGTCACCGCAATACAGTACAAGTACAAGTAGCAGTCACCGGAGTTCGAAGGCCCTCGGTTGATTCCATTTATCGCCACCGCAACAGCCGCTGTACCTTACCTATCTACGGACGGGCAGAAGACAAAGGCAACCAAACCGAGCCAAACCAAACCAAACCAAACCACACAAGATCAGACAAACAAAGCCATGGACACCGCCGCCTCCGAAACCGTTTGCGCACAGGCAACGCTGACCCACGGTTGGGTCGTCCATAGCTGCCTGGTGCTCAGCTTTGCGCTCTTTCGGCTCTCGATCGATCTGATCCAGACGGCGAGCGCAAAAACTAGAAAACACTTTCGGGAGAGCCACCACGGAGCCGCCGAGAGTGCCCCCGCTGCGAAGAACAAGAAGAAGGCCACGAACCAGAAGAAGGCCGGCTACGGGAGCATCGACACCGGCGAGACCGCCCCGGCGGGGGAGGCCGACCCGCTGCTTCCCGGAGGAGAAGCCTCCCCTTCCGGCGACACGCTCGCAACGTGGTCCCTCCGGCTGCAGTCGGTCCTCCTGGCCGTCCTGCTCGTGGCCGCGTGGACCGAAAGGTCCTGCGTCCTGCCGGAAGGAACCCTCCGGACCTGCGCCGCCGCCCTGGCCTTTGGTTTGGTGCTGACCCACCGCGACAGGGGCCGGGAACGCCTCGGGTACGTCTCGCGCTTCTTTTACGCCGCCACCGGGATCGGCCTGGCGGTCCCCGTGGCGCTGGCCTGCCTCGGGAAGACTGCAAGCGCCGGCCCATGGGACGCGGCCGTGGTCCTTGCTTTGGGGCTCTATGGTGTGCTGGCCCTGGCGGAGTCCTTCGGCCTCCCGCTGCCGCGCCCGGACGCAAGGGATGCCCATGCACCGCCCGGGGGCCTCTCCACGGCCGCCATTGCCCAGCTCCTCCGGCCCTACGTCTGGCCGGACAAGACCTCCGAGTCGGCGATCGTGAACCGCGTCCGCGCCATCCTCACGTGGGTCTGCGTCGTGGCCTCCAAGGCCTGCAACCTCACGGCGCCCATCCTGGTAAGCATTGTGCCACGGCGGTGCCTCCGAACCCTTTGTGTGTGTGTGTGGGTGTGTGTGTGTGTGTGTGTGTGTGTGTGTGTGTGTGTGTGTGTGTGTGTGTGTGTGTGTGTCTGCAATCCAATCCAATCTCATATGCCTTGTGCACAACACGATACTGGTTCTTCTGTCACTCGTTCCACAGCTCGGAAAGGCTTCGACGGCGCTGGCGCACCAGCAATATGGGCTCTGCATGTATCTTTCCTCTGCGTGTAAGTAAAGAACCACGATGCAAAGCTATGGATCCAATGTGCTGTACCCGAGAATCACTCTTTCTTCGGAAAGCTACCCGTTCGAGCAACCAACCATCATGTTCTACACATCAAACAGGATGGATCTCACCCCGTCACTTTGTATTCGGACTCTTCAAACCTACAGATGCTGCCATCCAGTTTTTCGGATCGCTGTTCAAAGAGGGACAAAGCCTGATCTATCTGCGCGTTGCACAGGCCGGATTCGTACAGCTCTCCGAGACGACCTTCGTTCACCTCCATCGATTGAGTCTGGACTGGCACCTCCGAAAGAAGCTGGGAGAGGTCATGCGATCGATGGACCGAGGAATCGCGGCCTGCGACACGCTGATGAAATACCTCTTCCTGTGGCTGGTTCCGGCCCTCGCGGAATGCATCATCGTCTGCGTCATGTTTGCGACCTACTACAGCTATGCCCCGCTGTCCATTGTTGTCTTCTACTCGGTGTGGATCTACATCGTATGGACCATCATTCTCACGCTGCAGAGAAAAAAGTTCCGCAAGGCCGTGGTTCGGTCGGACAACGAGTGGTAAGTGCGCTGCGATGGGGTGCGATGCGATGCGATGCAACGGGATGGGATGCGATTCGATTCGATTCGATTCGATTCGATTCGATTCGATTCGATGCGGAGACACGCAGAGGTTCAACACGAGGCAGCAAAGAGCTGCACCGCTCTCACCCAGTTGCGCTTTATCGTCTCTATTACTATTACTCCTACTACTGCCAGGCACGATCGTGCGACGGATTCTCTGGTCAACTTCGAAACCGTAAAGCACTTCACGGGAGAAGAGTAAGTTACTTGGATGTCGTTCACAGCCGTCGGTCAAACTTTGAACAATGGCTAACCATCACTGTCTATTTTTTTCGATACCGACAACAAAGGTACGAAAGGCAGCGCTTTGGAGAATCGATCGCAAGATATCAAGCGGGAAGTGTCAACGTACAAGCGACCCTTTCGTTCCTGAACATCACCCAGAAGTTCATCTTGCAGGTGTGTTTGGCTGCCTCCCTGAGTTTGGCGGCACTGGGAATCAAACAACGCAGCGACTGCTGCATCGATCAGGGGTGCGATTCGGGTGTCTCTGGGTGCTGCCAGGCCATCGACCACGACACTTGTCCCGGAATGGAGGTTGGTGACTTTGTTGCGGTGCTGACGTTTACGATGCAACTCTTCCAGCCCCTGAACTTTCTGGGAAGTGTCTACAACGCCATTGTCATGGCGATTGTGGATCTGACGAACCTCTCGCAGCTTCTGGCACAAGACCCCGACATCAAAGACAATCCGGACGCCATGATCCTCCCCCTGTCCAACGAAACCGAGGAAGACGTTGCCGTTGAATTCGACAACGTTTACTTCCATTACCCTACGCAGCCCGAATCGAAGGGCTTGAAAGGGATTTCCTTCAAAATGAAGCGGGGCACCACCACGGCCATTGTCGGCCCCACCGGTACGTATAGCGCAATCGAGAGCGACGAAGCATTCTTTGCAAAACCATTGTTGCGAAAGCTCGGCAACCTAACTCTTCTGCATCAAACGATTCTCTCCACATTGCCATCGCAGGGGCTGGGAAGACCACGATTTCCCGTCTTTTCTTTCGATTTTATGATGTATTGGGTGGAGCGGTCAAAATAAACGGGAAGGACGTCCGGACCGTGTCACAAAAGTCTCTCCGATCGAGCATTGGCGTCGTTCCACAGTCTGCGAGCATGTTCAACGATACGATCCGAGAGAACATTCGATACGGTCGACGGGGCGCAACGCAGGAAGAGCTGGAACAAGCCGCCAGAGATGCCCAGCTGCTGGGCTTCATCGAGAGCATGGACAACGGCTGGGACACCGTCGTCGGAGATCGCGGGCTCAAGCTGAGCGGCGGCGAAAAGCAAAGAGCCGCTATCGCACGGTGTTTGCTGAAGGACCCACCCTTTGTCCTCTTGGACGAGGCCACCTCGGCACTCGGTGAGTCAACCTCGTGTCGTCTTTCCTTTCGCACGAATGTTTGCAACGAAAGCTCCTCGTCGTGTTCTCACCAAAACTCGTTTCTCCCGTTTCAGACACCATTACCGAAAGCAGTGTGCAAGAGGCCCTGGATCGGCTGGGATCGCATCGCACCGTCTTGGTCATTGCCCATCGCTTGGGCACCATTCGCAACGCCGACAAGATCATCGTGTTGAAAGACGGCGTGGTACACGAGGAGGGGACGCACGACGAGCTGTTGGAGAAAGACGGCATGTACGCGAGCATGTGGAACCGGCAGTTGCATTCCACGAGCAATTCTGGAAGCCAAGTGAGTCTATTCACCGAGGATGGCGAGGAGTAGTCGACACTGCCAAAACAAACCACTATTTGCGTGTTGAGCATCTTTGAAGCATCGCACGCCACTGCTCCGTGGCATGAAAAAAGAGGGAAATGACTAATATTATGAATAGATCTGGAGCGAATTCCAAATGAATTGCTCGCGCCCAAAAACTTTCGTTAGTAACGTAGATCTGCATCAGATTCCTATCGACAAAGGTACCTGTGACATAGTTGTATTTGGTTCCTTCTTCGTTCTTTGAGAGCTTGCCACAGTATGCCACAAATACGATTTCTACAATATTCGGCCTGGTCTACGATGGTAAAGAAATTTTCAAGTTGAGGGCGGGAACAACTGATTTGAAATCCTTAAGGAAAACAATATATTGCTACTGTTGGATACACACCCATCGATTCTTTTCAGATGTGACATTGATTGCCTTTTGATCCAATCCGGATTTGCAGCTCAATCGATTTTTTCACGACCACCCATCGGAATAGAAACCAGTGCCAACAAAATAATGCTGATCATTCCACAACTCACTCCTAAAATGCAAATTATCACGCCAGCAAACATGGGAGATATATTGTAGGTTTCGTTCAAATGCTCTAGGAATTCCATGGCTCTTGATCCGCCAAAAATCAGAGCTCCCTGCAGCAAACCCAGTGGACCCATTGGGGAGTTCATGAAAGAAATTGGCTGGAAGATTCGAGACAGTGATTGCAATCAAAGATCGATTTTTAATCAGCGGTGGGTTAGTTTTGAGTCGATACAAATGGCTTAGAATTCTGATTCTCGTTTTTGTATTGTAAGACACGTACTTTCTTCTTCTCGTATCCGCCTTTGGCAGCCTCTATCAGAGACGTTACACTGTAGGCTCCGTCGAGTTCATAAACATCCCAACCAGTTACAATGAAAAAGGAAGGATATTGATGGATACCAAACCGCGTCGAGAGAGCCTTTTCGGCGTTACAATTAACTCTGGCAACGCGGATGTTTTTGTCGGGGTCCGAATGGAACTGTTGCGCAATGGCCTTGTAGCTCGGTTCGAACTGCACGCAGTATTTGCAGCTCGGAGTGTAGAATTCGATCAACCAAACCATGCCATCTCCTATACCAACAATGCCCGCAAAATCTTTCGACGTTAGCTCGATTGGTTCGAGGCCAAGCTTTTCGGGTTCGTCCGAGGCTGCAGGCGTCGCGACTTCCGCTCCCAAAGCAATACTGTTTGACTCCGTCAATATCCACGACAGTGCGGTTGCGAACGCAAGGAAGATCCATCGTTTGCTTTTCAGGAGCGAGAATTTCGATCTCGATCGATGATTTGTAGCTGCTGTCATTTTCTTCCTTCCTTCCTTCCTTGTGTGATGGTTGTTTCTTTCTTATATTCGACAAGACCTCACGGTGAACAAATCTTCACTTCAGGTAGTATCCTTCGTTGGAGTTTTTTCAAGTGACTATTTTTTGTAGTACAGCATCTCAGTTCCGTTTTCTGTCGAGGCAAGAGTCGACTACGAGTATGCTGTTTACTTGGGCTGTAGTAAGCATCACCGTGATGCCAAATACGAGAACCAGTACGACTGTGAGAGTCAATCACGAGTAGCTAGTGAGTGACCTCACTCTTTATTGGGTCATTCCCGTCAATCTAGATGTTCTAAAAGTCTAAACGGTCTACTTTAGACTTTTTAGTTTAACAGGAATCATTAAAAACAGGGCCCCAATGGGCATTTTTAAGGGGCCATTCTAATCTTATAGGAATTTGGAATCTCAACAGAAATGACTAAGACTGGAAAAGCGCGCCTGCACTTTTTTTGGGTAGTAATAATGAGGAGTCATTCAACAGATTTTCACTCATTCTTGGATTCCAGTCTAGATTTCTTAGACTTTCTATCAAGCATGAATTCAGCGTTCTTGACAGAGAGTCTAAAAATTTGGACTAGATGGTCTATTTTTGGTCTGTCTGTATGTCAAAAAGTAGACCATCTAGATTAATGGGAATCACCCATTGTAAACACTTACCGGTATGTAGTTATGGCACTACTAGTAAAGAGCACACGTACATTTTGCAGGTTATGAGGTCACTCATTGTTAGCTACTTGTGATTAGGCCTTTTGCAGTTTGCTGCAAGTGGAAGTTGAATTGTCATCATCCAGTGGCATAAGATGTATTTTGCAGAAGAAACTGTTATGTTTCAAAGAAACAGCAACTATTGACTCTATATATTTTCTGGAAGATAGTAAAGAAGAAGTTTATAGTCTCTAAAAACAGCCATTCATTTTGTACTGTGGTCTACATTATAAAAACTTCATATCGGGTTTTTAGTGTTGTTGCAGTTGTTTCTACCACTACTAGTAGTACCCCCTCAGACTCCCTATTTCCATCAACTAGTATTTCAGTCAAGAAAAAAACATCCTAGTACTATTTTTTTCTTTTTGAGGAGGACTTGTTATTGTTGAAAGGTCGATCAAGTCATTTTTCACCAGTACTTCCTTGACAAATTACCATCTCCATGATGGAGAGAATGGCATTGCATCAACAGAAATACATTTGTTTGTCTTCTGAATTGGCTACGGTGCACTGCACTTCACTATCTCTATCTTTAGTGCACGTAGCCACTAACTTTGAAGAATTCTTACAGCCCTGGACTTACTGAGGAAACAAAAAGATATTTTTTTTAGTGTAGATTTGTACAAACCCGGGTATATTAATTTTTGCAAATAAATTAGTACCTTTACCAAAATAAGCAAATTATTTCATTTTTAACTTAAACATTCAGTCATTATTGTGACAACAAGTCATTCTACTAGCAATAACCTAGTTTTTGCACCGTAGTAAGTTTTTTTTGGCCGCCGCCATCCTTGAAAAAAAAAAAAACAATGCGGCGGCCGCAACCAATTCTGAAACTTTACATGATACTACTACTAGTATGCAGGAGATACTAGGTTGATACGTCTGACAGTCTGTCCTTTATTCGTCAAGATTGAAAATATGTTGGAAGGGGAATCAACCAGAAGTGGTTGCCAGAAATTCCGATGTTGACAACTCACCATGATAGGGATGAAAACATCAGACTATTGGTTTCTGTCGATAAATAAAGCATCTAGCGGAAATAAGTTTGTAGAGTGACATCAACAGAATTGAAGGCGGAAACCGAGAAAGAATACAACGTCGGGTGTCAAAAGGAGAGCGATCCGTACAATTGTTCTTCGAACGAAAAACGAAAAACGCGTTGCCGACGTCAAATATGCGGAGCAAACCTTCGCAACCGGCTCCTAAAGGGGGAGTGAAAGGAATCAGAAAAGGCAAAAAGCGCAAGCAGTATCGCCCGAGTAGTTTTTTGGATTGCCAATCGCTCACGCATGTCGTGGGCTTCCCGCCACAAAACGAACTCATCACGACCTCGGTAGCTTCCGAGTTTGTCAAAGAAATGTTTTTCGATCGTTTCGTCAAAGAAGTTGTGAAACCCTTCCAACCCAGGAAAAACAAGGAGAGCGGCGACGGAGAACGATATAATTCAGCGACTCCAAAGAACGATGGCAACACCGGATACTATCATGTCATGGTCGGTGGAAAACTCGTGAAGAAACGAAATACTCCGCAAGGGAACGAAACCAACGATCCAAAGGAAAGCACTACCCAAAACAGGAACGAAATTGACGATGCCCTTGCAAGAAAGAGGCAATTTTGGAAAGAAAACATCGTGGTTGGATCGAATCAATGCTTGCGTGTCCTGGAGACCGCGAGCAAAGGCTTGGCTGCGACACCGAACAAAAAGGATGGTGATACCGGTGCTCAAGCAAAACCGTCTCTGATTGTTCTAGCAAAGGACATTTATCCTCCAACCATTTGCACTGCCATACCAGTATTGGCGCGGAATCTTGGAATACCTCTCTTGCTGCTTCCCGGAAAGGCGTCGCTCGAACTCGGAAAGGCTATGAATGTAAAGAGGACTTCGGTGCTGATATTTCTTTCCGGAGACGACATCAATGGGGAAAATGATGCCGATAAAAAAAGCACAGGAGGCGGTGGCGTGGAGGATAAGGAACGTCGTGAGACAGCCACTGCGATTGCATCCTTTGTTTCCTTCATCAAAGAGCAAATGTCTGTGAGTGGTAGAGACAAGATCGGATAACACGCATACAGTGCTATAGAATGTAGACATCAGTGTTTCTGTCCGTATCGATCGGCCGAAAAATATGGAGCTGTTCTACGAAGATAGTGTCTATGTATCGGCAAGACACTTCAGCTACCGAAGATACAAAAAAAAATCTCAACACCGTTGGGTGTGAGCGCCTGGTTCTTTCCAAGTTAGTGAATTTCAAAAATGTGCTTGAAGTGTATCCATAAATAATTTGCTCTTTAGTCTGAACTGGACGACTGGTAGATGTGTAATGCGATATTCCATCGAATCTTTCGATTCTACCCTTTTTATTTCAGTTTGTTGCACATTTCTTAGGCTACACAGTAGGTGGCCCTTCTCGATAGATTTGAATTTGAATACCCCGTGTTGACACGGTACTTCGCCACAATATTTTAGTTCGTGGCAAAATAGTGAATTGCATTCGTCTTCCGTGTTAATTTGTGTTTTTTGGTTTTGGTTTGGTTTCTTTCACCATCGTTCCATTGCTGACGTAAAAACTTTGCATCTGCCGTTTGGTATGAATGTCCGACAGGAACGAGTAATTAGGACTCGTCCTGCCACGATTGTTCAACAATCTCCCGGACACGACGGTTGTACTCGCGTCTGTTTTCGTTGTACAGTCGGCTCGCTTCCGAGTTTGCGGGCGAGGCGGGGTTTGGGTCGCACAGCAGCGATTGGATGCTCGTCAATATCGCCGATATATCGTAAATGGGGGACCATTGGTTCTGCAAAATGTCCAAACAAATCTGTCCGTCGTTGTAAATGTTGGGGTGGAACATCTTCGTCAGAAACCGAACCTGCGGCGCCTTGTTGGGATAGTCTTCCGTAAACTCCAGCACCAGCTTGAAGGTTCCCCCCTCCCATGGCGTGTCGTCGGGCCCAAAGATGACGGCTTGCCACAACATGATGTTCGTGTCCATGGGAGCACCCGTGACTCCCGAAGGAGGGTCATTCTGGAGGCTATTTGTCGCGTTTGTTGCATTTGGGTTTGGTTTGTCGTGGGTTCAAATCAATTGTTTGTGAATTGCGCAACGGTCGAGTTCATTAGTCGGCGCAAGTCGGCACATCGGGATCCGATGGATCGGGACGTGTGGAATAAGTGTGATGCAAACAACAGATCGAATGATTGTGAACGAATGGCACGAAAACGATACGTGTTTGGTGAGTGAACTAGTTTGCAATAGCAATTCGAGCGGTGTAACACACCCCTGGCACCCACGAAGTGGTCCAAGAGCCGCGGAAAAAACCTCGACTCATTGCATTAATTTCAAGCTCGGAAATTTCTCGCGAAAAATTGGTGACTCTTGATTCACAGTATTATCATTCGATATTCGGCCTTCGGCAGGGTCGCTGGGCGCAGTGAATGCGGTAGATGTACAAAACCATGCATCTTCTTACCGTTTAAAGTCCCTTAAAAGTCGTCTTCTTGCACTTGTGCTCATCTTGAAAAATACCGTACAGCGTTGCAATCGTTACCTTTGTGTTTTGCTGGTTACGTTGTTGTTGACAGTTTTCGGTCTTGTGCTTCGCGGTGCGTGAGTTTTAGAATGTGCTCGATGCCCTGTGAGAACGCTTCCATCATTTTAGCCGTTGTCGTCCGCTCACTCGAGTGGTACGGTACTCGTTCTCGTAGAACTGCAACGATCTCAAGTTCGTACTATGAATGCCGGTGGGAGCTCGGACTCACTAGTGGTGGTAGCTGTTAGCTGTACCTAATACGTACCGTACTAACCGAACGATTCGGTACGTATGCGCCCCAAAAGGATGAGAAAAAGGTAGCTCTTCGAACGGTACGTACCGTACGGGGCGATACGAGCACGTGTACAGTAGGCAGGGTTAGGAAGAGTACGCCACGGCCTTTTTTTGGTTGCGCTGCGCGCACGTTGAGAGTTCAGGGTGGATAAAAGATGGAGTAGAGTGCGCGATCGAGGATGGCGATGCTACTTGGGTATTGTACGGTACAGTACGTATCGGTACCTCAGAAAAGAGGCCAAGGCAAGGCTTATGGTAATACTCCTAGGTACGCTACCGTACTGTACCCGGTACGTATAGTACGTACCTACTATCCATCTCCATTCCAGTTTGGGGTTATGTTAGGCCTACTTCAGGCCCTTATCCCTCCAAGAACATGTTGTCAGTCGTCACGTCGTCACGTCTGCTCCGTTTGTTCCACCACTACGTACCTCCTACACAGAACCTACCGAACGTAGATAGGTACTACTGGGTGTGGCTATTGAACGAGGCTTCTCGTTCCGAAGAATTTTTTTTCTTCCTTGGGACGTGTCGGTAGTGGGTCACATTCCTACCGTACGGTAACCTGTAATCGCACGCACGACACTTGCTTGAAGCTAGGAAAGGTGGGTTCGGCTTCGGCTCTTGCGTTGTGCTGCCGCTGCTACAAACTAGATTGCGTCATTACAATTGGAATTCCGATACAGTACATAAAGATCCGTCTTGACAATAGGAGCTCAATGAATTGCAATGATTCATTGCCTCTTGTAATCGATTTGCATGCTCACCCCAACCAGCAACAGTCGGTCCGGAAACCACAAGGCCAATTTTCCGTGCTGCGATTCGGGAAACGAACCTAACAACATCTCACAACGACAACCATGAGCGCGACAAACGACCAGACCGCATCGCCTACCGACGCCGGCACCCCAGCGGCGCCCCGTCGATCCGAATCTCCAACGGGAATCGCAAAGGATCCCACCGCGGGTGACGCGGGAGAAGCTGTCCCGCCCCAGGGATGCTCTGGGAAAACGGTGGGAACGAGCCCCCGTGCACCAATGCCGCTCGCCGACGCCGAAACCAAGAACGGGAAGAAGAGGCCCCTGGCATCCGTGGGTGCCGCCGAGAGTCCCCGGAAGAAAACTACCGAGGATTTGGCCATCGGCACCAAAGCCGATCGTCAGGCCCGTGCTGTGGGCCGTGATCCTTTTCAACGGAACCTGCCCATTCCGTTTCTGGTGAAGACGCACGCTACCAGAAACGATGATAGTAAATCGAATACAGTTCCTTCCGGGAGAAAGAAGAAAAAGAAACGGTATTCGTCGATTCTATCCGGAATGATACAGTCGAAGAAGAAGGAAACAAACATAATGATTGAGCGGGAGGCACTGCGCAAGCACCTTGGTGGGGGGGATTATGCCAAGGTGGACAAGATATGAAGCGATGCAGCATTGTGCATCTGCTGAAACAGAACTGTTCATCTTGTTTTTTAAAAGCACCATTGGTTCACTTAAAACATTACTGCAGTCCACTATCAAACAATCATTGGAATGCTTCGAATGAGAAAATGTAAAATAAGTACAGTATAATAGTATGAATGGACCTGGATGCTACGACCGTGATTCTGTATTGAGACGACCAATAGTGGACCACCGAGCAATATTTTGCAAAAATTTGTTCACTTTTATTATTTAATGAATAGAGCACTTGATTTTCGAACGGTTTCGTTTCCATCGGCTGATAATTATGAACATGCACAATTTGCTCAACTTAGCGTTGTCCCCAGTGAATGGCTAAGTATTTTACACACAGTGCTGTATCTGCCGTTATGAATTGTCGTCATTCGCATCACTGCTACCCATATCCGATTCTTGTAGCTCCGTCGTTTCTTCCAGTGATCGAAGCTCTTTGCTAACATGAAGAATGTGAGTTACTTCGTCGTTTGAGCTGGTGTTAATTTTGAGGAAAAGAACAAGAATGAAAAATAGTTTTGTAAGATCACACAGATCGCAAACAGAGCTGCAAACGATGTTTTGGACAAACTCACTTTGTGAGAGGATATGAGCATATGAAATCTACAAACTCTCTATCATCCTTGTCATAATGAAATCTTGTAGTGCACTTGCAGCGTCCCTCGCTCACTTCGACCAGATCGTATGGTGGATTCGTCGGTTGACTCCCACTACGATTGGAAGAAGAGTCTAGTATTCTGAATAGCTCTGCACCCTCAACGTCCATCTGAGTGTACTTTGTCAGCTTAGTCCATGACTCGTTGACATTAATGATCAAGTAGGGAGGTTCTACCAGAGTGATCACTCTACATTCGTAGGGAACAGGTGTCAAGGCCATCTCCAAGCTACTGGGGATAATTTGAACCATCAACTCGGATCCACTGCATCGTTCAAGCTGTTGCATAAGGCCCATCGAATCGTATACCATTTCCAAACTTAGGAGTTTGTTTCTCGATGAAAACTCGCCCCGAAGCATACCAGGCATGACACATTCGGAGAGTGCTCCGCATAAAACTGCGTCTTGGGTTCTGAAAATAAATGGACACATGATCACATCGTTCATAAGAATCATATCGTCTTCGTTGAAGTGATAATAAGCTCGTATCTGCGGCTTGCTTCCGGATGAATTGCTCGAGGAAGTCTCGACATCACCAGATATGATTTGTGGCCCAGTAGATATGCCCGCTGGGGCTTCGAGAGCCACATTTGCAAGCTTAGGACGTCTTGAAGGTGTGGAATCGACGATGCTGTCGTTCTTGAACTTTCCATTGGCATTGTTATCAGTAATGGACATAGACACGGCGGATGAAGCACTATGAGATATACCGCCAGGACGCTTTCCGATACCTGCAAACGGAGGGAGGGGAACTGCCGGAGCCATTGCAAGACGAGCGTTTCCGCTCTTTTGGATGGACACAGAGCTAGCGACAGGACGAACATTATGAGCAATGCCTCCCTTTTTGGCTATCATGTTAGCTGGGAGAAAGCTATTGGATGCCTTGGCAGCTGCAAGCCCCGCTGATTCTGATTTTGATTTCCCATCTGCCATTGTGATCGCATTGTTCATTTTATTTGATTCGACTTTGCGCCTTTTGCTCGATCCATTGTTTGGAGGTACCTTTATAGCTGCAGCTGAATCGTCCATAGACGATGTGCTGACGCGCTTGGTATCATCTCCACTATTCGAAGCGTCTGAACCACTACCTTGGCCAGTAGGATCTGCAGGAAGCTTCGGATCAGGGAGAGGCTTAGCATGGTAGTCGTGAAAGTCTCCAGAGGCATTGTTTGTGCTACTTTGAGCTGCAGATTGCCCTTCGTGACTCGAAGTGCTAACGTTCTTGGTGGCATTTCCCGACCCCTTCTCATTAATACTTTTCTTTTCATTCTTCTTGTTCTCTTCTCCGCCACTAGAGCAATTGTTAGTACCGGTGTTTGAAGAATCGGAACTTGATGCTGAGATACTCGAGACTGCATGTCTGAATCGATTGTTTCGTTGAACAATATTTCTTGGCATGCGTTTTCGCCCAGTTCTTTCTTCTTCCCTGGAAATAAATTCTTCTCGCTTCAGATGTGCCCACCTAGAGCTGCGTGATCCAACTCCCTCGATCATTGCAGCTATACTCGATGCGTCTGCAATCACTCCTTCTACACCACGGGTTATTCGACTCTCMTTTATCGAGAATAGATGTATAGCACGCCATTTTGCAATTCAAAGAAAGGAAGAGATGAAGAAATGTGAGAAGGTAGATTGAATATCACTATCATCGAGGAATGACTTTTTGATCAAATCGAGGCAGAATGAAGTAGTTACTGTACACAATTCACAATGCTTGGAGCAGATATAGCAGCAGTAGCTTCACTTACGTTTTCTATCTCGCTTCTACGAAAGCAACGATACKGTGTCACCGGCTGCTTGAACCAAAAGTTGTCTTCCAATAGGGTTGTCCACTTTCGTTTGTCAGATTCGTAGCTAGAATGAAATCGCAAGAAACTGCGAACGACTGCTCTTCGGACATCTTGGGTCTCAGCCAAATGCTGGATAGCAACCCTCCGTTGCCGAACTTCCTCGGTGCGTTCAGCATGAAGGCCATCTACCAACTCTTTCAGCTTAGATACATATGCTTTCTTTCGAAGCCGAGTTGATCGAGCATGCTCCCTGTTTCGATCTCTGTTTTGCTGGGCTCGCTCCTCAGATGTTAGGTCTTTTGTTCTTCGCTTCCCGTTACCAATGGATTTCGTTCCGTTGCTTTCTACAACGACTGGATTCGGTTTCACGTTTGCTGCTGCGATTGCTTGCGAAGCAGCAGCATTTGCGGCCATATGAACCTGAACTGATGAGGGAGCCATGGGATTCACTCCGGGACTCGCATTCAAGACAGGATTCGGTAACGTTACCCCATACGGTAATATGGTTTGGTATTGCATGCCTGTTACACCCGGAATGGAGAACAGTTGTTGCTGCTGCTGTTGCTGCGGTTGTGGTTGCTGTTGTTGCTGCTGCTGAGGTATCGTTCCATTTTGAGTATGATGTGGCTGCTGACTTCCGATCGCCGGTGTTTGTTGTCCCGCTGTGACTAGTTGTGGCCGAACCGCAACGGAAGAATTGATCGCCGCTGCAGAAGTCTTCGTAGTCATCTGTTGCTGTTGTGGATCGTGTGTTGTGGCCCCTGTCGTACTAGTCGCTGCTGTTGGTTGAGATAAATAGTATTCTGGCATTGTTAAGAACGCACCGGGGTTTGTTATCATAGCAGCCGGCGGGAGAAGTGGCGTAGCCGCAGCTACAGCAGCTAGGGCCGGATTGGTCATAAGTTGCCCCATCACCTGAGAGTTCATTGCATTTCCAACGACAGCTGTGTTCGTAGCTATATGGTGTTGTGTCGGTTGATGACGGGCAACTGGATTACCATTAGTGGAATACAACGTTGGAACTGCTGGGTGAGGTGCATTGGATGCATTGTTGGCTATAGATGTAGGAGGGGGGTTTGGTGCGATCGGTCTGCTAAACGTTTGCTGCTGTTGCTGCTGCTGTTGCTGCTGCTGCTGCTGCTGATGGTTGTGGTGCTCCATATTTTCGTCTCTTGATGGTATCGTTGCTTAATCTATTCGTGCCTTTCAGCTTCATCCTCCATCGTTGAGGAGTCTTAGTTGCAATATCGTATTGTTCGTAATGTTTTGTAACGGGGTTGTTGCGTTTCGATGGGAACTTTTGGAAAGAAATTCAATACATCTAATGAAGGCTCTCCACCTTCGTTACGTTAGTGGCGCAAGATGTGAAGAACATAGATACACTTAACGACGTCGATTTCACTCACGTCATGTTTCGAAAACAGTTATTTACTTAAGTAATTTCTTTGTTTTCACGTTCGTCATTTCGTCGTCAGGACCTTTGATTCTTAATGGTGTCGAAGATGACATCCAGTGATGTCATTTGCGGGTGATGATGACAGCCTTGCTGTCGCTTCGACACAGAGACAATAAGTAAAACCGATAAGATGGGCATGTCGTGGAGGTATCAGTATGTACCAATACGGGATTCATCGTTTAAATGCTCGTACCTTGAAGTCGCGCCTAGCGTATCAAACAAAACTACTGTATTCTACCACACCGGTACCGGTACGTACAGTATGTACAGTATGTACTTCGTACAGTACTAGGCATTTCTTTTGCGCTAGATTTGATAGACTGACAGACGGAAAATTTAGTGACTCGTTAGAGGGACATTCAGAAACAGCGTACGATATTTCGACATAAAGCAAGCTACTAGATCCCTGACTAGTTCGACCACATTGACCAGGAACATTACGAAACGACGCATTACCGGTTACCTTAAGCTACTGTACCCAAGACTACTCCGACTAAGTAAATATGCTCATCTCCTACTGTACTTAGTATCGGTACAAAATGGCACGTCCCCACCACTACTACAACTAATGAAAGCAAATGTACTATTGCCTACCCGAAATCGACTTAAAGCTACTTTAAAGTAACTTTCCGGTTTCCCCTTACCTGGTAGTACATGAGAATCTTAATGGGGGAATAAAATGTGGTTGTACCAGTACTATGTACTGCTAACAAAGACTATTGGTAAATTCGGGGTTCCGGGAAACAATTTTAAATGAGGTCAAAATTGTATCTTCTTTCTGGTAGATTTGAGGTAAAAACATAGTCAATATATGGTAAAAACATAGTAGTCGTTATGTGGTAGATGTAAAGTTGACATGTGGTACATACTGTATATTACCAGTAGTGAATATGTGGTGGTAGCCCTCAAACTGGATCTGGTACTATTAATTATGACAATAGTACTGCATGGGGGATCTGGGGAAGCTACAAAAATTGACTTTAAATCAGATATCAACAATCTGACATGAATCAGATTTATATTCAGTATGAATCCAATTTGTATTCCTTTCTTTCTAGTAGTCAATTTGTGGTTGAATTCTGGAAGCAAAAAATTCAAATTATATTAAAATAGTATCCCCGAAACCTCCATATTCATAAATAGGATGCATGTACTATGCCTACACAGACAATGCACATGAAGACTGTTCTTGCCTGCATCCTGTAGGCATGCTCCTTCTTGCAGCAATAGTCTACTGTAGTCAAACTAGTTAGAGATCTACTAGTAGCTTAATGATTGGAAAAAACTCTTTCCAAACATCCCAGATTTTGCATCACTATGTTTCACACGCACATGAGAAATCTGAACTTTTCATTTATTTTTCACTTTCTATATGAATTGTGAGAATAGCCTCCTGTAGACAGTAATAAAAATACAAAATACTACTAAAATTAACAAAATGCCCTACATTTTTCTAGTGATACTGTCTATCTTTGCAACTGCATATCAGATTAAGTTGTGGTTTTTGGCAGGATTCATCTTAAGATACAAATGAGTGTGTTGGTTGTATTGGGTATTAAGGATCAATTGAAATCATAATACTTAGTGCACCTACAGAAGTAGTAACAAGTCAAACCAAGGCTGTGCTTACTAGGCAGGAGGGGAGTACTACTAGTAGTACAACAACTGAGGAGCTCCTCCATTCAAAGCACCTCCTGCCCAAAAGGACTTCCAGATTGACCTACAAAGGGGCATGTGAGTAGATAAAGTCCACCCACTACCTGGGGGGATGTGAGGCATCAACATCCATAGTACCACTGTATTGTAAACATGCTTTCAAGGATGGAGATGTAAGACAGATTTTTGCCTGTATTTGGAAAGCAAGCTACTACTACAAGAAATGCTAAATAAAATATGGTACAATACTCAGAGTTATGCAAGAAGAAAATGGCTTGGTACATACCAGTGGAAGGTTTGTCTGCTGATGAAAACTGGAGCTTGCCCATTATTTGTAGTCTAACCATAGTTTTGTCACTTTTCCATCCTGGCACCCAAAACAGATGACTGTGAAAGAATGGGAAACCTCCCAAAGGGATTTCTGGGAATGGTGGACATCTCTGCTTGGGATCCCAAAGAGAAAGGAAACAAGATTTTAGATCCACTCTGCTGCTTCAGTGGAAATGCAGACAATCTAGAGTTTTATTATTTTTTAACTATAATCTTGGCATCTGTAAACATCAGGAATACCAGTTTTGTTGGAAATAAGAATGGAGCAGTGGAATTGTCAAGTGACATTTTCAGGATTGAGGATGAGGCCTTTGTCCTCCTGGTGCTGTACAATGAACTTGGTGTGTGGGAGTTCTCCTTCCAAAAAAAAGATCCACCATCAGTTAAGATGGTGCTGGAACCAAAAAGATTATGTGACCCAAGAAGTGGAAGGAAAGACAGGTGGGCCCCAGAGGAGGTGAGGTTTTTCTATTACCTGTTGTGTGCTGAAATTTAAAGAACTGCAAAAGGATCCTTGTCAACCAGGAGTGAAGTTTAAGAATCAGAGGAGGAAGGAACAGTTCAGGGAGCAGCAGCAGGAGTGCAGTAAAAGGAAGAACAGTAGTAGAGTTGTACCACTGGATGCTGAATTGAGACCTTGTACCACTGTGGGACTGCTTGCCACAGGCAAAGAGGTTTGTGTTTTGGAAAGGTTCAGCAATGCACATGACAAACCCATCAAGAGTGTGAAAAACAATGTCATGAGGACAGTGGGCAGGGGTGTTGTTGTCCAGGGATGTTGTCTAGTATTTCTTGAATGTACTTGTAGAATTAATTCTCGATCATTGATAGTAATAGGGTTCAAACATGGTTCTTAAAATGTGAGATAGCAATGTTGGCCTGCTATTCCATACAATTGGGACCACTTTGTTTCAGAATAATTATTTCACAGTAGTTATTCCAGAACACAGAAAAATTATTCCATGGTAGTGATTCCAGAACAGTTATTTGAGAATATTACTGATTACATGTGTGAATCTTGGGTTTGGATAAATAATTCCTGGTAGGTTGTTACTGCCATCTTGATTGTTGGGATTTTCAAGAAGCTCCAGAGTAGAAATATGATTCAATGACTAGATGAATCTAAGTTTGTAATCAGTATAATAATTTTGTGACACAGCACCAGACTGAAGTGTGTTGTGGCACAAAAATAATCCCCAAAATGTGGTCATATATTCCTTGTGTTAAGTTGTCACACAAAATTTATGCCTGTAGGGTTGCAAAACCTTGTGAATAGTAGTTTTTGTGACATTGTTTCTTTCTGACCCTTGAGTTCCTTGTATCTTTCAGATTTTTCACTACCTCAGCAGACCTCCTCTCAAGGATTTCCTTGGTGATGATAGGCTGAGCCATTGCATACAAAAGATATTCCCCTGACAGTGGCCACACATTACCCATGCAATCTCTGTCAAGTGGAAAACCAAGACTGTCTTAGAGCACTTCTGGAACTCTTCTGTAATGAGAGTTTGTTCTCCCATCATGCCGTTCAAAGAATCTCTTCTTCAACAAAGCAATGTACCCCACACTCAGCAAAGCAATGAACCCCACTTCTGAGCTTCTATCATCCATATTGGAATTGCCACACATTTCTGATACTTCCACAATCATGACTTCTCAGGCATTTCCTTCTCTGTAAAATCACTAAAGATTGCAAACACTGGGAGTCTGTATCCTGAGGTCATTGTCCTTCACACCATTTCATATTTGGACCAGTGCATTTGATGTCCTCTTCATTCTTCATCTTTGATACTAGTTTGATTGTTGTTTCAAAAGCTTGGGAGGCAGTTGAGACTCTTGCCCATTGATCTTGACTTGGAGTATCAGAGACTGTAACATCATAAACATGTGTTGTCTTCATGTCATAATTCAACTGCTGGAAAGGATGGATAGGCTTCATACTTTGTCCTGTTATCCTCTGGATTTGTGTGCAAGGCAAGAGCCTACCAGAAGCTCCTTTGCTTTCTCATAAGAGCCTTTGACAAAACTTGACACCAGCAGTATTGATACTTGGGATATGAGATTCCAAATTGACATCCTGTTATTTATTCTGGGTTGCATTTCTAGCTTCTTGCTGTTGTATTTTATCAATTTTGCATTTGCAACTTGAGTGTTAAGCACTTGATCMCTTCTTGGTGACATCCCTTAGATTCTTGCTCCTTGTTGTCTGTTTCAAAAATGTCATCAGACAGGACAGAGATAACATTTCCCAGAGTTTGTTAAGAAGAATCTGTTTTGTTCAATGTACAAAGATTAGATACTGATACAATGGCTGGTCTTCCCCTTCACAGTCCTTCATCCCCCTTCAAAGGTAAAATGTTTGTTGCATTACACTCTCTGATCCGTCACTGAACTGAGATCTAGTAGACAACACATTGCTATGCATTTGCAAACTGCTGGCTGATGGACCAAAGATTTGACTTTGCATTCATGTAATGGGCTTTAAGCATAAAATTGAGTGAGAGTGAGCAGTTGGCAAAAGCAATATATTATCCCTTCAACTCCAGGAGCTTCATACTTCTCTGATCTTGAAAGGATACTATCCACACCACTGCTTGAGGACTTTAGAATGGCACTTCTCAGTTTCTTTAGGGGAGGGGCTATACTGGTATTGGCACTATTGTAGATTTCACTACACTATGAAGTTGTTGCTCTGTAATAGATATTCTTTTTGTAACTTTGTTATGAAGCCTTCTTTGGATTACCTTATGTTCATTTTCCTCTGCAATTGTAGCTTATTGCAAGCCAAAGTTAGCACCCAACTTCAATGTCTGACCCAATAGGGCAAGTACATTGTCAACTCCCTTGTTAATCAATATTCTGGTCTTTGAAGAATGAAGTTTACTAGTTAGATCTCTTGTAGTTCCAT